TCTCGAAAAAGGGGCATCATGACGTTGATATCGAAACAGTAGTGTAGGATATAACATGGAGTGGGCCATCGCACGAGAAAAGGGACATTAGAAGTGTTGATATCAAGCAACTCCCCTTGATACTACAATAAGCACTTTCTTCTTCAATCACCTTCATCACTTTCTTCCCTCTGTTGTTTGGTGCAAATATATACAACATGGTCGCTAAACCACCCTCATCGAGCACTTTTGCTCGCAAAGTCGCGAATCCACTAGGTTTCACAAAGACGTACAACTTTTGGTTGTACTTTGTATTCGGGGGTGCGCTTCTTGGTTGTAAGTGAACTTATTCTCCCCTTTCCACTCCCTCCCAAATCACCTAAGTTGGGCCTTTATTTTTATTTTGTTTTCAAAATTTCCAACACAATGTGCCACAGTTTCACTAGCACGCCTGCAATACCTTGCATTCTCGAGCAAGTTTTGTCCCGCCGACGGGCCGAGTCCGACGGGAAATAGCGCCGCGCCAGGAGAATGCTACTACTACCTCAACTTCAACAGATTCAAAGTGGGGATTCTGCTGCATCTTGGCGGTGTCTTGCCCGCAGGCATAATTGCCGTGATGCAATTCACGCCATTTATCCGACACCGCTGGCTCATTCTGCACCGAATTGGCGGATACGCTTCGCTGCTGCTGTACCTGATCAGTCTCGTCGGCGCACTGATGATTATCCGACATGCATTTGGCGGCGGTCTCGATGTCCAGAGCTCGCTCGGTGCGCTGGGTTTCACTACCCTGGGCTGCTTCATTATCAGCTACATCAATGTCAAGAAGCTACAAATTGAGCAACATCGCGCCTGGATGCTACGCGGCTGGTTCTATGCCGGCTGCATCATCACGACTCGCATCATCATGATCATCTCAGCACAGGTTATCAAGAACAGTGGGTACTACACTGTGTGGCCTTGTGCGAAGATTGCGGCTACCATCGAAGACGAGATCGATCTTGTTACTTCGTATCCCACATGCTCTGCCTTTGTCGACGGCTCAAACCCAGACGCCGTGTCTGCTGTGGCCGCAACTATTGGATCCGGAGACAGGGCAAACACGGGTGCTGCGCTGAACATTGCATTCGGTATGGCAGTCTGGCTGGCATTTGCACTACATGCTATGGGTGTCGAGATCTACCTGCACCTTACACCGCGTGAGGCCCAGCGTCTGCGCCAAGTCAGTTACCAGAAGCAGCTCGAGGCCGGTATGCGCAACCCTGGTTCCGCAGGCCTCACATCAGACCGTCTGGGTGATGCGGAAAGGTGGTCGCCCAATGCATCCAAAAAAGATAGTACGAGTCCATTGATAACCGGGACTCCAGAGCCTAATCCTAGAGTAGAGCGCAGATGAGGAGAGGAAATTAGACTGAGTGAGGTGGATTTGTCAAATGACAGCAAAGGTATAGAATGCTTGGAACAATTCCGTTTTCTTTATGTTGCAGTTTCGTTAATCGCTGTTTTTAGAAACTTAGAGATTAAACTTAGCCAGTCTCGAGTTGCCTCCAGAAACTTTCATGTTTTTTCAGTGGTACGATCTTTATTTATTATGACAATTGCATTATCATATGGCAGCCTTCTGACCCCGTATCTTCATATCAACGTCTGGGAAACTGATTTAGTCTTGAGCAACATTTTTTTGAAAACTAGCATTTAGAGAGAAGAACTACAATAGCAGGGATTCGCCATTAGCCATTCAACTAACAACCAATCCAATAATCACAATCTCGAATATCGTCACATGTGGGAGAATAGATCGTGTCATTCGTATGTATTTACAGGGTACAACCTTTATACAGTCTCCTAGCTCAAGAACTTTCGTGAAGCATTACGAGCCCGCTCGTCCGTAAACACCTCTAGTCGCACGCCACACAGTATGACTTGCATGCGCCGCACATCACCGTCTGCATCGGGAGCAAGAGGCTCGACACGAATGCGCCAGTGCGCACGTTTGAGTGTCCATTCCACCTCTAAATCTTGCTCGTGAGCTCGGAGATATGAAGATTCGGAATCTGATTTATCACCGCCCCACAACCATGTACCGTTGGAGTTTGCCCGCCGGATACCAAGGCGGCCAGTATTGTCATCCACGCCAAGCTCTGCGGAAGCACCGTCGATCTCCAGGGCACAGTCAGTCTCGAGGCGTACACGAACGCGGCGATCGCTCACGCCAGAATTGGCCGGGCTAACTGGTTGCGCCGCAACACCCCCGCCAGACTGCAGGTGCATAAGTCCTAGAGGTTGCGTGGCTGGTAGACCCATTTTTGAAGCTACAACGGAGAACAGGGACGTGACGCGTGCGAGTGTCGAATTGTAGAATGTGGCTCGAAAGTCGACTTCCAGTGGACCCGTTCGTGAAGCCTTGGGGACCGACCATGGCAAAAACAACGATGTCGACTCCGTGGAGGAAATCTCGAGAACCAAGATATTACTATTTGCATGGTCATCCGTATATGGACGCGCGTATGACACGTAGCCTGCTCGCGTGACAGCACTGCTGCTTGCGTTTGACGGTGCAGGACTGTCGACTTTGCCAACAGGCTGTGGGCCTGGGGACGCACTGATTGACTGGCCACCATGGACCGATCCAGAATCCGAGTCGCCCGATGCTGTTTTATCAGGGATGAAGGAAACACCCGACGGACGAATGTCTTCGAGGCGCACCAACATCTCGGACTGCTGGCGCCGCACATTGAACGAGATTTCACAGGGTATCAGCTTTTGCTCAAGCCCCTTGAGATGGAAATATCGTGCGTCTCTAAGGAGTTTGGATCGGTGTTCACTATTCCGGATCTCGACATTGTATCCTTGTAGTATCTGTATCAGCTCGTTAAAAGTCTCTCCGTTCCTATTCGGCACGGAGGGTGGCTTGATGGATGGCGGACGGAGTAGCACGTCACGATCCAGGCCAGGAAATGCTTCTGTGGGTGTCAAGAAGAAATGTGCGAATCCGAGTGAGAAGAAGTTGGGACTGTCGCCTGGAGCAGAAAAGAGGTCACGCGGTATCTGAAACGGAGTCCCTCCTATGCGCACAAATATGTCGGTGCCAAACAGCTGTTGAGTAAGTCGAGGTACTAGACTACAGTCAGCTTTCAGCCTTTGTGCTGGTCGTAGATGAGCTCACATGAGTAGAACTGCGCATCAGCATACAACTTGACAAAATGCTCGCCATCTTTGGGAGTGATGTGGTAGCCCTGTAGATGCAGCGCAATGTCACGGAACGTTTCTGGATCACGGTCGATGTACAAGGTTCTCACGTCACCAGCGCGACCCCCGTTATCGTGTAGTTGCTGGCCGAAAAAATGGGAAAAGTATGAAGGTGCTCTAGTAGTCTTAGCTGGCCGGTCTCGGTTGCTTCTTTCACTTTTGGCACATGCTTACCATCCGACGAGAGCGAAGCTCCAGACAATCTAAATAGCTCTGAGCCGATCTGTATGGGAAATACCTTGCCTGCGGGCAACATGTCTATTCCAGAGGGCGCATCTTGTATCTTCCTCGGCGTTGAAACGTCAATGACCCTGCCTTGCGGTCCTGTGCCCTTGCTCTGCTCCTTGCGCCGCTCAGCTTGTGTGTTTTCTCGCGGCGCCGGTTGCGATGCAGTTTCGGTGGGCACGGGAGGAGCTGTGCTACGCGTCGTCGTCGTTGTCGCTGTGGTCGCATGTGTGTCGACTGGTGCCGATATGACAGGCGACGTAGCCGACGCATCTGACGACTGACGCGACTTGTTTATGCGCTTCGACGGGTTCTCTGTAGCTGCACCGCCAGTCTGCGATACGGCCGAAGATGGCTCAGAATCGAGCTTGCGCTTCATGCCCGTCTGCACTACCGGTCTCTGCTGCTGTTGTTGCTGCTGCTGCAATCGAGGAGGCGGGGGCGGCGGAGACAATGGGATCTGGGTTTGCGTAGCATTTGGTGGTGGTGGTGGAGACGACGCGCTTGGGGGTTGCTGGAAAGGCGGATACGCAGAGTCACCGTTGGTGACGGGGAGCGGGATGCTGAGGTCGTTTGTGGGATTTGCTTGACCCTGGAACTCTTGGGCCAGCTCACCCTGAGGTTCATACTGGTTGGTGAATTGGGTGAAGTCGAGCGAGTTTGTCCAGTCCCATGCTGCAGGCGCCTGAGCACTAAAGTTGAAGCCGGCAAACTGGCCCTGCGCTACCTGATGTTGTTGCGCAACATAGTCTCGATAGGCTGTCGAGGCGTCATAGACTGGGGCTTGGCTCGCAGTCTCGGCTGTACTGGTGTCCTGATCCGCGTTGTAGCTGTTGTACGATTGTTGTGGATACGGCTGCGATGCTCCACCTGCTTGGTCAGAAGTTTGAAATACGAAGTCCCGAGAGGTTGCGCGCGACCGGTCAGACATTGGCTGACCACTCCCAGGCAATCGCCCCGTACGTAGTGTCGGGCGACAGGTAGCCTACGTGCTGGAGCCAATTCGAGGCGCTGGAAAACCGGGGGTCTAGAGTCGCTGAGGGAGAGCTGAGTAAGGTCTTGGTGATGAGCAGCTCGCGGAGACAGTACTGGATTTGGACTGGCGTTGGAACGGGCGTTGGCTTCGACGACGGCCAGCCGAACGATTCGAGCGAGCGCTGGAGGGAGGGCAATACGATCCACGAGCAACAAGCAACGTCGCGGATATATAACAACGCTGTTGCGCGCCAGCAAGGCGTCTCAGCCATCTGCGTGTAATCATTACCTTGCTCTTCGGCCTGCCCGCCAGCCGCTTGCGCGAGTCAATGTCGCCGCACATCACAGACCTTTGCCCGGGCGGCTCAAATTCGCCCCCAATCTCTATCTTCATCATGCAGTGATGTGAGGCTAAAGCTGACTGGTCTCTATACCGCAGGTGATAGAGATGGTTGGCGGAAGGGGTTGCACCTGCTGACGTGAGATTTTGCTGTGTTACCTCCATCTGTGATCTCACCTCCGCCTCGGGTGTGGTTAGCGACAAAGCTGCAGCTTAAAATCACAGACCATGACCATGTAGTATCTACCATCCGTAGCGGACGTAATCACGCCGCGGCGTAGATCATTATATGTACGGCAGGTGACTATAGAAGAAACGACGCATCTGCCTATCAGACAGTAGCCGGCACCCTATTCTCATCTCATCCCGCCATTCTTCCCATACGGCTTCAACTCTACTAAAACTTGGCATCACTGAACGGCACATACTTCTCCTGGCTCGCATCTTCGACCTTCTTGGCCGCTCTCTTGTACGAATCCGTTTGCTGTAGCCTCCTCATGTACTTGTACAGAGTGGGGTAGTTTGTGTCACTCAAAGGCACGCGCTGGCAGGCTCCCTCAAGCGCAAAGTGGATCATAATATCCGCTGCGGTAATGCTGGAACCGCAGAAGAATTCTCCCTTCGAGGGAGACTTGATAAGATAATCTTCCAAGAAATCAAAGTGCGTCTTCAACTCTGGGTCGACAAAAGAGCCGTCGACTTTGGCGGCGACGCCCCCAGTGATGGGCTTGAGGAAGAAGGGAACGGGAGCATTCTTGATACCTACATGGTGTCAGCAAAATAACGTGGGAGAAAGACGTGTTCGACGGATACTTACTGCCACTGATGATAGCAGCAATCAGAACTGTAAACAGACTGCCTTCAGTAAAATCCATGAGAAACTGCGTGCTGGTCAGTTATCATGCTTTAATAAGTCACGTGAAAGGGTGGGAGGGGAAGAGGCAGAGGCACCTGGATACACCAACTCCTCTGAGCCTCTGTGCCATAACAATACGTCAAGAAAATCCGAGGACAAGTAACGCACCTTGTACCTCATCCACTCTTCCGTTTCTGCGCCAAGCACGCCCTCCTGGCCCTCGGGGTACCTCGCAGGAACCAACTGCTTTCCAAAATGGTCGCAAATATACTCCATAATAGTCTCACTCTCTGCAATGACGATATCCTTTTCCGAATTTGCTGGTCTAATGGTAACAACTGGAGATTTTCCCAAAGGGTGGACAGCCTTTAGGTCAGGACCTGCACGCCTGTTGGCATTGCGCTTGTAGACCTTGATGTTGTATTCGAGATTCAGTTCCTCGAGCAGCCATACGATGCGCTGGCCGCGCGATTTGTTCAGCCTGTGGTACCATTAGACAAAAACTCTTTTGTATGGCGTGATGCGTTGTGTTTGGCGATGCGGAAGCGCATTATGCCGGGACATGTTCTACACGCACCAGTGGACTGTGATGGTTGCGCCTTGTTGGTTCGACATTGCTGCTTATTACGCTTTACTTATGGGAACGGTATAGGGTTGCAATTATTGGGGTATTGGGGTATGGCTGGCTGAGACTTTGGGCGGAAGTTGTGGACTTTTATAATGCTCGTCGCCTGTCATCACCGAGGTTTGTCCACAAGCTCGTTGTAGTTTCGTCACAAGCTTCGGCGCTCAGCCCACCAAGGGTAGACTCCCCGCCCGAGAAGCCTCGTCTATATCGGATGTTGTATGTTCCGACGATGCGATAGAACTTGTAGTTCTATACAAAAGCTTGTTTTCAGGTATCGTATGTGCACAGAAATATGCGATGGGCAAGACTTGGAACTGTGACGACAGAGTCACTCAGCGCGTGCTGCGCAACTTCGTCGTCATAGCTATAGCGACAACATGAACAATATGCAATACACAATGCAATAGTTCGCGCTATTCGTTATACTTTAGCTGCTGTGCAATCTTAAGTGCAATCACCAATAGTCGACCCTACAACGGCACATCAATCCTCTCGCTGGTGCAATCCAAAAACGCCAAGACATCACGGCCCTCGCCGCACCCGCCGACCTCATCGCAAGCGCACCTCTCCAAACCACAACCTCACTCATCGCGCCCCTCTCTACACCGCGCAAATTTCACAACCATGCAGCCTACACTCCGCCGGATGGCCGGCCACAACCATGGCAGTACGTACCTACCCCAAAACTCGCGTATACGAGACGCAATGGACTGACAACCACAACCAGTGATCCACGCGGATCCCGCCATCATCAAATGGGCCAGTACGTTTTAGCCCCCCCCCCCCCCTTCGGACCCCTTCCAATCCGGCCACGCACTCTTAGCCACCTTGAACAAAGTCTCGGAAACATGATACCAGCTTAACCGCCGTCAATGGCCACGGGGCCCATCGCAGTTTACTAACGTAGCAAAACTAGCCATGACCACGAACCGCCACAAATACTTCCGCTGGACACGACGAACAGCCTGGATCACATTCGCATACGTTGCTCTGGTACCTGGTTTGCTGGGCGCTGCGGGATACTGGGCTGAGGTGAGTTTGAAGATGCATGCATAACATGGAATGTGGGAATAGGAAGAAAAAGAAGCTGACGAATTGGATAGGGAAGGTGGGAGATGCGTGGTAAGCGACGGGGTGATACCATCTCTGAGTTTTAAGTGCTGGAGATGTATTGTGGGAGGGAAAAGAGGAGATGTGGACGAAGAATCAGATCGCATTGCCGCTAGAGCGGTGTGGTGTGTGTATTGAATGCGAAAGAAGTACTCTCCGAAGTTCTTGAGGGATTATATGGGTTTATGTTGTCTTTGTGTGCAAGTTTTTTGTTTGTACTAACCGGCTCCTGCATAGGATATGTGTAGCAAAAGAACAGTTGTGGAGGCAATGTATGATTGCTAGACGTCTACGATCGATGTAAAAACGGTGCAGTGCTAAAACACTGATAGTGAAAGCCAGCCCTATTATTCGTCAGCCTCACATTCTGCTACTGGCGACACATGATGCAAAGAACCCCCAATATCTTCCTAAGCCATAAGAGTAGTCAACTATCTCGCCGTCACCACCTTTGCCGGAAACTCTTACACTGTCACATTGATTTCGAGAAACTGCTTCGCAAACAATCTTTGCAAGTGGCTAAGCCATCGATAAAAACGAGTGTGAGTTATCTATCGCTATCGCTAGCAGAGTTCTAGGTACAAAAATCCAAAAAAAGAACAGTCTATATCTGACAAACGAAATCCCCTAATCTATATCCATTCTTCGCCTGCAACCAAAATCTAGACTACCGCTGTCGCTGTGGGCACCACCACCACCACCAGTTCATAAAGTACTCACTCCATGACCTCAGTCCTAGTACGCACTAGAAGCCGCGGGATACGCCGACTGCGTACCCTCAGGATGCACCTCGTGACTAGCCTCTGGCCCAGCAGGCTCCGCCTTGTACGGAATCCCACACCTCTTAGCACAGCTCTCTACAATCTCTGTAAAGTCGCTGGTAAGCGTGGGCCTGAGCGCCGCAATCTGCTGGGGGGTCAAGAACTCCGAGTAACCGGCACTGGCGTCGAGGACCTCATCTGGGGTTGCGGAAAAGAAGCCCCGGGCGGCCTCGACGCGGCCCGGGTCGGCGTTGTCGAAGCCGGCGACGAAGACGGCGGGTTCGCATTCTGGGTTGAATTGCCAGTGGACGAGGCCTTTGGGGAAGAGCATGCCGGTGTAGTTGGAGAGGGTGGTTTCGATTTGCGTGTATGGGCCGATGACGGGGGGTGCGCCGCCGACGACGTGGCCGAAGCCTGAGTCGTTTTCGAGGAGGATGGCGCCGAGGAGCTTGCCTTGGACGACGGTGAGGAATTCGTTGGAGCGAGGGTGCCAGTGCGGGGTGTTGAGGCCGCAGGGATTGACGAAACCGACGGCGGCGGCGAGGCCGGTGGAGGCGAGGGCGGGGAAGTTGTTTACCGTGGAGAGGAAGATGGAGCCGCCGGTTGGGGGGGTCACAGTGTTGTTGATGAACTGGAAGGTGTCGTTTGCGGCGTTGGGGGCATTGGGGAAGAGAATGGCTTCGCGGGCGGTTTCGGATTGGGCCAGGAGGAGCGCGTTGCGCTGCGTGGTAAGTTGTTCGGCCGTGAGGGCGTTGACGGTGTTGGGGTTGATGAGGCGCTTGGTGACTGGGAGGCGGGCTTCTCCCACTGGAGAAGCGGTCGCGGCTGCCACGAGGAGGGAGAGGATGGGAAGGGTGAGCATTTTGTGTTGATGTTGGGATGAGAGATTGTTGTAGTGATTGATAGAGAGGTGAAGAGTGTGGTGGGATATCTGAAGCTGGAGTAGGTCCCCCTTTTATGCTCTTCTCTCACCTTTCAGATGCGCTCCTTGAGTGCTAGTATTCTTCTTCCTCAGTGTCGTCACAAGGAAGGCGTATGCCTTGTCAAGCCACAGCTGATTACAGAATCCACACCAAGTGGCACTTCTCATCCACGGATACCTAGACAAGTCTCCAGATTTGGTAGATTTCTCGTTGTAATAATCAGCATAATATGGGGGGGACATATCATCGGGTTCGTTGTGCTTTCCCTGGTTCAGTTGAATGTGGGCGAGGGAGGTCACTAGACCATTGGATGTGTGTGTAGGCACTCCATAACGACGCGTATCGTGGGCATCAATAAGCGTTGGTTATTGACGATCATTCGTAAATGGCTCGCCATGCCTCAGTGCAGTCTTTGAAATCCAAAGGATGCCTTGGTCTTTCTTGGTATGCATCAATCCTCTGGAAGGCAGTGATAGAGGTTTAGCACCTCGCTGTATGTCAACGTATGTAGCTTCTACAGCATCCTTAACTCCATATTTCCGGAAGTGAGTGATGGGCAAAAAGGGAGACATGACATTATCTCCGCGATATGACGACGAATCAATACATCTTACTCCAGTTGGTAGTCAGTGCTTTGAACTAAGCCTTCGTGGTCTGGGCTTGGATTGCTTCAACACACTTGACATCTGAGCAATTGTCAGACGAGTCAGTGGACGAGACACTTGTGTCTCGGTCCATTTTTCTCTTCCAGGAATCTTTGACAATACACATTCTGACTCATGGTCTGAGCTTCTGGCGTGCCCAGACTGTGGATATCAGGCCCAGCGGCAAGCTCCGGACCTGTTCACCGACCCGCCTGCATGCAACAGGTTTAGTGGTGAAATTCTCTCAGCAAGAACGTAAATTTCCCAAAATTCGGAGCCGGGACGGTCCATCGGCTGTAATGTCGGTCATCTAATCTCGATAGAGATGCCAAGGGAGGAAGACGGCCGTGACCAGCGAGCAGGATGTGCTTGGCTAGCTGTATAAGCACATCAAGAAAGCGTATAGCCGTCTTTTACTTGAAAAAAATCCATTTGGGTAATTCATGGGTGTCACATTAGTTGCCAAGAGCGGAGAACTGTTCTTAGGAGGAAGCGTGGGAATCCTCGTAATCAAGCCTCTGTCTTGGCCGTGACGTTACTTGCTCGGGCATTCTCCGTGCTCTCCACCCAACATCTCAGGCTGACGCCATAAGCACGCCCTACACATGGGTTCTCTATGGCAAATCATGGTTGCGTGCTCATCCTGGTGTGGCGGTGTGATCACACGCTTCCGCGATGACTGTGTATGGTCATGTCGAGTCTTCTGACGCGGTCGTGCATACCCATGCTCTTGGGGGATATATTCGGGTGGGGAAGAGGCTGAGAGCATGCAGAATTAGGGTCACGCTGCGGTCCGAGCGGCCCGAGATGGTGCTGTAGTCGTGGTTCACAACTGTTGGTAGTAGCCGGATTTTAGCACTGTCGATCTACGTCGTGACTTTTAGTTGCAATCCCACCCGAAATTATAATTAGTATCGGAAAACTGCAGAAACAGCAGCAAAATGTTCCGTGATAATCATGAAAATGCTCGGATTCTTTTCCGTTGTGGCTGTAGTAGGTTTGCCATGGAAATCAAAACGAAGTATTTTTTTTACTATCGTAGACCTTTACTGGTAGGTGATTTTGGAATGGTCACCATGCATACGTGAGATGTACGAGCAAGTGGGGTTGGCTGTGGCTGAGCTACTCTTCTGTAAGCTAGGTCTTATACTTCCCCCAGCCACAGAGACAGAGTTTGGAGACCAGATGACCATGAAATGACGGAGACTTCTTCCGCCACTCGAAAAGGACTCTTGAGGCGCTCTTTAGAATTTACTTCATACGGCGCGGCTGCTCCGGGTCGAAGGTCCAAGATGATGACAGAGTTTCAAGGTCAGTGCTTGCGACTGCTTTGGAAGCTATCTACATTGAGTATTGAGTGGAGCTGTAGGTGCAGATTGTGCACAATATAATTCTAGCGTCTAAATATCCGCGGGAGCGTCTCTCAAAAGACAAAGGTTAGATCCCACACTTGTGGCGTGAAAAGTGGCTTGAAGTGATCACATAGGATGTGTGAGTGTCGGGACCTCCCAAAGAACTGTTGTTCGCTACGCCGCCACGTGGCGGTTTAATGAGGTGCTGGGCTTACAAAGCCGTGTGGCTTACATACATCACCAATGGCTTGCGACAGAGGATGTAGTGAAGAATGATTGATTTACTCTAATTACTATCTCTAACCGAACACCCATGATAAGTCTTGCCATGAGGTTTAACTAGCACTAGCTTACACGACGCTAGACGGCATCGCGTCAACACTGTAGTCTACCCGTCTTCAGATGACCTGATTTGCATTTCGGTCCACAGTGACAGAGTTTCCTTCATGAAAGTCGGTATATCTGCTCACTTTTTACTCTCCTGCTCCTGCTGCCAGGCCTCCAGCCACTTGCACTTCTGGCCATCGGGCGCCCACTGCAGCGGGCGGGTAACAGCCAACCGCCAGAAGCCCATGGACTTTTCACTTATCCTGGTCTCGGGGTCATGGAATGCATGTTCCAGAGCCTTGAAAAAGGCCTCGCATTCTTGCTGCAGACCCAGCACACGAAGACAGCGGAGGATGCGCGTGAGGCGGAGGTGATTGTGGTCAAACAAGCCGGCCCAGTTCTGGAATTGTTTACGCCAGTTGGAGGCGCGGACAATGTGGTACGGCAGCGTATTGGAGACTGACATGTTTTTGTGAGCTCCAGGAGGGAAAGCGGGCTCTTTTGGGATTGCCTTGACCCCGGAAGCAGAGGTATCTGCATTAATGGGAGAGTCCGTATTCACGCCAGTCTGGGTAGCTTCAGAGATAGCGTCTTTGTCCGAATTGTTCTCTAGAGTCGTTGATACCCTGAAGCCATAAAACTTGAGCATGCGCTCAAAACTCCGACGCAGCTGATGGCGAAGCTCACTTCGCGACCGGAATGCTTGCATAACCGCAAGATCAATGACAGGTGCATCCCAGTTAAACATGGAACCCTCTGGCAATGGAAATAGCATCTGAATGTAGTTGTGTGAGGACTCAAGCTGAGAATCCGGCCATGATAGGATCTCCTCTAGCGTGCGATTTTTCGCATCGTTGGCCTTGATGTCTGGATCGTAGAAGCGAACAATGAGCTGGCTCCTGGCCTCAGCGGAGTCCTTTCCCATGTTCGAAATCGCCGAAGGCCCCATTCTGGAGCGCTTCTGTGATGTAGTAGAGACGTGTTGAGCCTTGCGCTTTGTGTGATTTTGTTGGACCGCGCCCGGCTGAGATATTGATGTCGGTGTCAATTCTGTTGGCTGTGATTGTACAGAGGAGGGAGTTTCAGGGATTCTGCAAGAATTGGGGTTTGCAGTGAACTCGCCCTCATGCGCCTTATCACCGGGTGTCCTTTCCATGTTTACTGTCAGTCAGGTGGCTTTAGGCAGCCGTGGTTCTGATTTCGTGCCTTACCACTGCACCAAACGAACAGTACAACCAAGAGCACAGTGAGACGTATTTTTCCCACGTCCTACACAAGAATTTGCTACATGCCTCACAATGTCGAGTCGCACATTGTGTACCAATGATGAGACGAGATGAAAGCAGTAACAGTGACCGGGACGCATGCAGTTGCAAGACGCTAGCCTGTTCCAGCATAGCCAACCTTTTTGGCGGCTTCCCTCCCTCCGGATGTCCAAGCAGCGACGATCTTGCCCCAAAGTCTTCATCCACAAGACTTGCATCGAGCTGGCAGACACGTCCAGGGCACCATGTTCTTTTTTGCTTCTACACCTACTTGTCTACACCACTTCCACACCGACAGCTGAGTTGTACGATTCATGGCAGTCCGCGGCATGGCAGTTTCGTGCAGGCTGACGTCACTGGTGCTGAATGTTGACAAGCACGGTCTCCACTCACATCTAGACCATTCACAACGCGCGGGTCTCATTCTTGATAGCCAGCACAGCCGAAGGAGTCAACATACAAACCTGCTCAGCCATGGACCTATACAGGGTATTCACCCGCTATGAGCCGTAGTGGGTATAAAAGTAAAGAACATGAGCGACAAGTATGGCTCTGTCGAATTTTCCGGTGGGCTTGAAAACTTCGCTTGAACATTGATCTCCTTGGTCCAGCTGAACCAGTACGCTGCCTACCAATCATCGGGAAATCGTACAAAACAGCACACCTCAAGTCTAAACTGACCAGCGCATCCCTGACGATGGGTTCAGAAGGTAGGTCAAGTCCAGTGATTGTTTCTCTTCCGATTGGACTACTGCGATGCTCACCACTGAACAGAACAGAAGCCAACGCCTGAGAATAGCACGCTGTTCCAGGGCTTCGAGTGGAATGTCCCGGATGATCACAAACACTGGAAGCGTCTTGCTGAACAGCTCCCAAAGCTCAAAGCGATCGGTATCACTAACATTTGGCTACCTCCGGGTTGTAAAGCCGCGAATCCAAAGGGTGTGGGCTATGACATCTATGACCTATACGACCTGGGCGAATTTGATCAGAAAGGCGCCAAAGGCACGAAATGGGGAACAAAGGAAGAGCTATTGGAGCTCAGCAAGGTTGCCAAGGAACACAACGTTGGCCTTTACTGGGATGCCGTGTTGAATCACAAGGCGGGTGCAGATAGGACAGAGAAGTGCCGGGTTGTGGAAGTGGATGAAAACGACCGCACAAAGGAGATATCCGATGCCTACGAAATCGAGGGGTGGCTAGGATTCGACTTCCCAGGGCGCGGCGAGCAGTATTCCAAGATGAAGTACCACTGGGAGCACTTTTCTGGAACCGACTACAACCAGGCCAACGAGAAGAAGGCCATCTACAAGATCCTGGGTGAAAACAAGGGCTGGTCGCAAAGCGTGGACACGGAATCCGGCAACGCTGATTACATGATGTTCGCCGACATTGACTACTCGCACCCTGAAGTTCAAGCGGATGTCAAGAATTGGGGTGTCTGGATAACCAAAGAAGTGGGACTCAAGGGATTCCGCCTCGATGCTGTGCAGCACTTCAGCTCAAGATTTAGCAACGAATGGATCAAGAACCTCCGCGAGCAGTGCGGAGACGACATGTTCATCGTGGGCGAGTTCTGGTCGGGCGATGTCAAGGAAATGAGTGAATGGCTCGACGGCATGCAGCACGAAATTTGCCTGTACGACTCGCCCTTGCTTAACAAGTTTGGCTCGTTGTCGACGTGCGAATCGGCCGATCTGAGGACAGTGTTTGACGACTCGCTGGTCCGGCTGCGGCCGATGGATGCTGTGACGGTTGTCACTAACCACGACACGCAGCCTGGACAGGTCATGGAGACCAAGATTGAGGGCTTCTTTAAGCCGCTTGCATATGCACTGATTCTGCTCCGACAGGAAGGATACCCATGCCCGTTCTATGGCGATCTGTATGGCCTGTCGGAGCCGCACGAAACGCCGGCGTCGTGCGGTGGCAAGCTTGCAGACCTTATCCTGGCGCGTAAGCTGTTTGCATACGGAGCGCAGGAAGACTACTTGGACGAGGCCAATTGCATTGGGTTCGTGCGTCGTGGGACATGGGACAAGGTGGCGGGTCTTGCATGTGTGATGAGCAATGCGGGGCCAGGGCAGATCAGAATGGCTGTGGGCGAGATGCACGCCGGGGAGAAGTGGAGCGACGTGCTTGGATGGGAGCAGGGCGAGGTAGAGATTGACAGCGAAGGCTACGGAGTGTTCAGGTGTCCTGGCACCAGCGTCGCGGTGTGGGTGCGAAGTGATGCTGAGGGACGCGACCAGTTCCCCACCAACTGGGATGCGGATGTGTATGGCCAGGGATCGTGTGCGTAATGGTTGCGATGGAGGGTGTACGGATGGGGTAGTTGAATCACGGCGCTGGCGGCCGATGACGCAAGGCCGCCCACCCTCTTCACTTGTCCAAGTCAGGCGTGTACTGTTGTGAGTAGCGATGGGCATTATATCACTGGAAAAAGAAGACATGGCGTGATGCGCTGTCGTCGCCCTCTGCCCTGTCGCCGCGGCTCGCAGGCTGTTAGCTGGTGGAAGATGCGCGAAAGTGCGTGGGGCGGCCGACAGGGCTGCCGCGCAGCACAGCCAATCACCCGCCGCACAACAATAGCCGTTTTGGACGTTTCGCGGCCTTTCTGGCAAGCGAGTATGCGACATCCCGCGAAGCATGATCGACGGCCCATGCCGGCAGAATGCTCCCTCCCTCTGTACCATGATGCACACGCACACGCACATGCTCGCACGCGCGCCCGCGACACGGCCAACATGCGAGGCCAACGGCCCCGTCCTGCCGCCGGACATGAAGCCGCATGTGCCATGTGATCCCCGCTATCGCTCTGTCTAGATCTTGGGTCGCGTGTCAGTCTGCCGAGCTTCAATTTAACTCGGCGCCTGCCCGCTCTTCCATCCTCTGTCTCCCCTGCCGACGACCCGAGACAAGTAAATCTTTCACTGCCCTCTCCCTCTGCACTCTGTGCCTCTTTTCCCTCCACTCCATCCAGAACCACTGCTAACAAGCGTCTTCCTTCACGCTTCTCATGTCCTTGGTTCAGCATGTTGGCCACCAGGAGGGCACTGACCGCGACGAGGCGCTCGTAGACTTGTTTCTGCCGCCGATTGACCGCCAGCATAGCCGTCAAGATGCAGCTGACCGTCGTCTTTCGCTTGAGAGCGCCATGTCGCATGCCGGCTTCCTCAATCCCCAGGGAAAGGCAATCCGGAGGGTCATCAGTTACGATGTAATTCCCAATCCCGACGAGCCTTCCGCAGGCGAGGAGCCGGGAGGTCTGACGCCTTACAAGGTGTCGACGACCAAGCGTGTCGGTAAGTTTTGCTACTTTGGGTAATAATAAAGGCACATTCATCCCGACCGACTAACTTTGCCTGTAGCACAGGTCATTGCAACGGTCCTCGCCTGCTGGTTCGCAAGTGGCATCGTCTTTGGCTTCGCGGCACTCAAGCCAATTCTCATCAGGGAGGGTGTTTTCCGCAATCTCTGCACCCCCGAAGAAATTGATCATGATGTCGAAGTCTGCTTCGAGCAGGATCTCCGATTGAACTTCTTCTTTTCGTTGGCGTCTACCACTGCAAACGTATCGGCCCTGCCAGTCGGCACACTGCTCGACCGCTACGGCCCCAAGCTCTGCTTTCTTACCGGTTCATGGTGTCTTGCTGCAGGCAGCATTCTAATGAGTTTTGCTTCCAAGATCGAGCGCTTTGAAGGCTATACCATTGGCAATTTCTTCCTTGCCTTGGGGGGCACCTTTGTCTTCTTGCCATCCTTCCAGATTGCCAATGCATTTCCCAAGTACAGTGGCTCCATCGTTGCGCTCGTCACTGGCGCATTTGATGCTTCAGCAGCAGTCTTTCTCTTTTACAGAATCATGTACGATGCCAGTGACAGGACCTTCAAGCCAGAGACATTCTTCTTGGTATATCTGGTTGTCCCACTCGCAATCGCCATTGCCCAACTTACTTTCTTGCCGACCGAGAACTACAAAACTGAGGCACAGCTTGAGATGAAGATTCAGAAAGCTGCAAACGTGATGCGCGATGTACACTCCTCGGACGACGAATTGTCAGATGAGGAGATGTGGAGGCGCAGAAAAGCCCGCAGCGAACGCCGCAAGGAACGACTGAGCAAGCTTGACGACCTTGTTGGCAACGAAGCTGCGCGCAAACTCCGAGAAGAAAAACGAGAGCAGAATCTAGAGACCTCTGGTGTCTGGGGAGCACTGCACAACAAGTCGGCCAAGGATCAAATGCTTACGCCCTGGTTCATTTTGCTCGTCCTTCTGACTATTATCCAGATGGTGCGCATGAACTACTTCATCGCAACTATCCGCGAGCAGTACACGTACATGCTCGGTTCCGTCGAATTGGCTGAGAAGGTTAACAACTTCTTCGATGTTGCACTCCCACTTGCCGGAGTCCTTGCTACTCCCTTCCTCGGCATTCTGCTTGACAACGTTAGCACCGCCGGTGTCCTCTTTCTCATTGTCGTCATGACTACTGCCATTGGCATCATTGGTTCAATACCTACCCTATGGGCTGGTTACGTCAATGTCGTCCTATTCGTCTTTCTACGCCCGCTCTATTACTCAGCCATGTCAGACTACGCTACCAAGGTGTTTGGCTTTGCTACGTTTGGCAGGGTATATGGCACCATTATCTGTGTATCCGGACTCGTCAACCTTTCGCAGACAGCTATCGATGCATTGACTAAGAGCCTCTTCGAGGGTGACCCGACCCCTGTCAACATCTTCTTTGCAGCCTCGGCGTTCGTGGTCGGTATGGCGCTGGTCGTGTACGTTACAGTCCAGGTGTACCGTATGCGCAAGAAGCTGGATCAAGACGATGCAATGACATTTACAAACACCGATGCCGGCTCTGTCATGGAAAGTTTAATGGAAGAGGACGAGCCAAGAAGCTACGGAGCCATTCATCGTCCACGTCAGCCCTGGGAAGTCTGAACTTCCAATTCGTACTCAATTTTTATCCGGTTAATTTTCCCATCGACTTTGATCATCGTCACGATTATGACTCGAGTACGGCCGTCACCATATTGAGATGTTGTATTTTCTTTCTCTGCAATTAAAAAAGGGTCGAAAAATCTTTTTCTTCATGGGGCGTTTGGTTTCCTGAGGGCCTCCGACAAGAAATTTTCATAAGCGTTGCTTTGTTCATGGTCATTATCAAGCGAGCGTTGTCCCGAGTTTTCGGTTTGTTTCATGGTTCCATCTGCTCTATCATGTTTGCGTCTGCCAGTCCTTTGTAGACTAGATTGATATTTGTAAGAATTGGCGCTGTTTGTAAAACATTATCAATAATACCCTTATCAGTGTCCACAACTCTTTGCAATTTCGCTCTCGGGTTTAGCACATGGAAAAAGACTTTGTCGATCTAAGAATATGCAGCTGACAAGAGGGTGCCGAAAATAGGATTATACTAGTAGTATCTTGACATGGATCTGCATAAGGATGTCTTCTAGGTCTGATTAATCTTTATGCAAGGCTTGGATGAATTAATTCCGTTTGTCCTGGTCAGCGGAGTGGAGAACGGCAGACAAAGTATTCTCGCACATTCCGACGAGGACGTACAAAAACCAGACCATCGAATCCGAAATGGTGCAATGTACGACAGATGGAATTTGTGTTACTTGGAGTGTCATACACTGATCGTAGGAACTCTCATAGCAAACAGGTCCATGCAGGCATTTTTGAACACGCTTTGCAGCTGTTTGGTCGAATAATTGGATATCTGATCTTCATCATGCCTTCGTACCCTATCTTCAATCAAAGGGGGGAAAAGGGTCTACACTGCACCAGGTACCCAAGAGATATGTGTGTTCGGGATTCCCAGTCCAGATGCAGGGAACAAATGACGCGGGGTTTGCCAGATGATGTGGTCCGTGCGGGTTGCTACGGTACAGGGAAGTAGCGTTGGATGACGGCCAACTAGTGCTATTTACACTCGGTCGTCTACGCTCGCACCACCACACATCACATTATCGCGCAGCACATCTTCCCTAGGGCACCAAACTTTGCCTCGAATTTCTTTTCGGAAAAAAACAATTCCCTCTTCAAACATACATAACCCTCCAATACCGTCAAGTTGGCGCGTCTCAAAGAATCCCCGGTCCAGCTGGATCCGCCTCTCCCTGTCTCACCAAACAAAATGGCCTTCTCCCCTGGAATGCCCGTCTTCCCCGCCAGCCCCGACCGCGGCGGTGCCATGAAATCACTCTATGGCGACTCTGCAAGTGCATCTCCCGTCATGTCCCCATCAACACCGCCACTCCGCACCCACTCACCGCTACGACATACCCACCGTCGAACCGACTCGGACGTCTCCGTGACAGCCCTCACCGGCATGTTTGAGAACCTCGAAGTTAAGGACCCAAGAGAAGCGTCCAGACGCTTCAAGGAATTGCTTGAGAAGGAAAGGATGAGAAATGCAGAGAAGCTGGCTAAGATCGAAAAGGAGCATGCGAAAAAGGAGAAGGAACACGAAATGGCTATCAGCCGGCGTGACATTCGCATTGAAGAGCTGAGGAGTGAACTTGAGCATGCTAGTGGCTCGCTCGAGGTTGCAATCACCAAGGAACGCTACGAGAAGGAACGCAAGGCAAACAAAGCTGCCATTAACCAATGGGAGACTGTGTTCAAGCAAAACGAAGAGCGATGGAAGGGCATGCAGCACAAGATGGTGAGTTTGGCTTACGCGTTTGGCTGACTACCTTAAGCTCACAATGTACAGATTGAAGCCGAGAACCAGAGCCGAGTCTTCGAAGGCAAATACAAAAGCTACAAAAAGCAGTGGATCGAGGCGAACAACGATAAACTCCGGCATTCATCTATGATCCCACAGCTCCAGTCAAAGATTCAAACCCTTCAGCGCAATCTGCAGCGGGCCGAATCAGATGTCAAGTTCAAGACTGAGGAAGCTACCAAATATAAGAACGACGTCTACAGCTTACAGGTCGAAGTTGAAAGCACCAACACTCGCCTCAGCGAAGAGTTGCAGGCACTCAAGGAAAAGTTGAGCCTGGTTGAGGCAGAACGCGATGCTCTCAAGACCAGTCTCAAAGAGGAAGAGGTCTTGCGTATCGCTGCCGAGGGCCAGATACCGCTACCCTCCGCCGAGGATGACGAACGCGACGAATTCGCCTCGCCAGTCCGATCCCCGCGCAAGCAACACAGCAACTCTCGCCAGGATGACGACAAGGAAAACGTCTCACCGAAGAAGGGTGCAGTCGAGCTGAGGTTCATCCAGCAAGAGCTAGCTGCAGAGAAGCGCGCCCGCGAGCGTGCTGAGGAGCAGATTGACTACATGAAGATGGAGTGCCAGTTCCAGTGCTGCTCATGCCGAATTGCTGAGACCAGGGGCAAGCAATTCGTTCACGATGACTCTCTCCAAGCCGAAATGCAGCGCATCAAGTCAACATTCACACCTCCAGCTAGCAACCACGAAGACGATGTCATGGAAGATGTAGTCATGAAGCAAGAGCCTGTTGAAGCTGAGCGTCCTATCACGCCTGTGGCTGAACAGCCTGCTCAAGAGCCAGACACTGTTGTTGCTTTCTCACCAGTAACAGGTACTTTCCGCTCTGTGCCTTCTCCAGTCAAAGCACAGTCAGCAGCCGTCCTGCCCGAGCCATCACCTGTAGTGGAGATGAGTGAAGCACCGCCAATGGACCTTGAGACGAGAAGCGTACCGGTTCCTGCCGAGGTCTCTCTTCCAGAGTCTCGTCCAGCATCTCGCGTAGCTTTTGCGCGAGAGAGCCGCAAGGGCAGGTCAGCAGATATCAACATTCATGAGGATGCCGTTGAGGACAGTGACGACGACAATGAGTCCCCATCAACTCAAGAACCCGAGCCTACTGGTCCTGTTACACCCTACCTTACCCGCACCATTACTACCACGACCACTATCCCACTGCACTTCTCACCTGCGACCCCAGCATTCAAGGCAGGTCGAGGCCCTATGACACCCTCGACTGTTGCCCATGCTGCAGCAGATGCTCAGACACCTGCCTTGAGCGAGTTGTCGTTGAACAAGTTGGGCATTGACCGAGAGGCTGCTCTTGCCGCCATCCGCGAACGACGCGGCCGTGCTAAGAGCATGGCTGCTGGCCAAGGGACGCCAATGAAACAGATGTTCGAGGGAGTGAAGGACCGGAGAGACATCAGTGCTCCTATCCCAAGGGTACGGAGTGTGTCAAGGATGCGGAGCGTGTCAAGGGCGCAAAGATGATTGTTCAGATCATGAGCGCTTTGAGACGACGGTGCCTGGTGTGCTGCCCAGGGCGCAGCGAGAGTCGTGATACCACTTGATTTCCCCGTTCGCGGCTTTACTTTGCGCTTAGCGGCATTGCATGGAGTTTGGGCTGCCACTGCTTCATCATTTGGCTGATTTGGCGTTTTGTTCTACATCTCCTTGGTCTGTTTTGGGTAGGCAAAAACTGCGTTATATACCACAGTTATGCTTTACGGATGATGAATACATAGTATAGTTTATTGTAATTTTTGGTATTTGCTGGTCTACTTTTGTAACACTGCGTTTTTGTGTACTGTTTTAGACATTGGTGTGAGACTTATGGCTGCAAGTTCTCAGCCGAGAAGTAGATGGTGTGGTATTTGTTGGTGGTAGGGCCAGGCAACTCCAAGCAGTGCCGTCGACATGAGAACAAGTCTGTAGATAATGTATGTAGTGTTGGTAATTCGTTCCCATAAACCTAGTACCCTACTGTTTTCTCGCTAGCGCGGTGTGGCAGAATGCAAAGGCGGTCGGTCTAGCGCCAAGGCCCGACTAGCGCACCATTGGCGAACACACACTAGCGAAATTCCCTTGTAGACACTTGCTCGAACTTCAGCGACAACGACTAAGACGCCCAACCCTCTTTCTCCCTCACACACCGACAAACGCAACCATGTCTGACAACGGAGAAATCGAGGTCGAGAACCCCACCGGCATCAACATCCTTCCCAAGGATGTCGCCGAGGAGCAGGGCAGCGTGAAGCTGTTCAACAAGGCAGGCACAAGATGAAAACCATAACGCGGAGCGAATCTAACACCTCACAGTGGTCCTACGAGGAGGTCGAAGTCCGCGACATCTCATTGACGTACGTTTCCCCTACCACGATCTTGCGCCGCACACATACATGAAGGAATATTGTGATGGCATTGGATTCTTTTTGTATTGCGCTGCGAGACCTTCGGCTAACTGAAGCCGCAGCGACTACATCCAGATCCGCTCCCCCGTCTACATCTCACACTCGGCCGGCCGATATGCCGTCAAGCGATTCAGGAAGGCCCAGTGCCCCATCATTGAGCGCCTCACCAACTCGCTCATGATGAACGGCCGTAACAACGGAAAGAAGCTCATGGCTGTGCGCATCGTTGCCCACGCTTTCGAGATCGTACGTCTACCCGCTTTCAAAAAAAAAAAAGCAGAAACGCAATATTGGTCAAGGAAGAGAAGATTTGGTGCAAGATGGCTGACAATTGCAGATCCACATCATGACCGACCAGAACCCCATCCAGGTCGCCGTCGACGCCATTGTCAACTGCGGTCCCCGTGAAGACTCCACCCGTATTGGTTCCGCCGGTACCGTCCGTCGCCAGGCCGTCGATGTGTCTCCTCTCCGCCGTGTCAACCAGGGTATCTCCCTCCTTACCATTGGTGCCCGTGAGGCGTCTTTCCGCAACATCAAGAGCATTGCCGAGTGCCTTGCTGAGGAGCTGATCAATGCTGCCAAGGGAAGCAGCAACTCGTACGCCATCAAGAAGAAGGATGAGCTCGAGCGTGTCGCCAAGTCCAACCGATAAGGGCGTGCATTCTGTGTATGTGTGTGCATGGTGTCTCTGGATGGAGTTCTTTCGAATGGCTGTTCTGGTCGGATTTTGATCGGACGGGATTGGGGGATCTTATGCATGACATGGCTTCTCTAGGTGAATAAGACCTCCTCTTTCATGGTTGCATGACAAAAAATGGACAATACGATACCAAATTCAAAGCAATTGGACTTGTTGCGTGCAGGGTGATGTAAGGTCCCCCAGAGGGGAATGTCTTTTTCCTTTAGCGGAAAGAACGAGGTACTGGTTTGCATGGTGTGTAAGAATACAGTTTGTGCACCACTGGTCTTTGACATGGTCAACAATGGTTAGAAATATTGTATCATGAATCCGTCTATTGGGTATTGTCCATCCCTTTTTTTTTTTTACATATATTTTGAGCCCCTAAAACGCCATTGTTCCGATGAAGAGAAGAAAAAAACCAAGGGGCACTTGGCTTTTTTCGTCATGACCAATTGCTTTCACGCCTCTCTACGCCCTGCAGTACAACGTTTTCGAGGATACTTGCAAGATCCTCAAAGCGCACTTTACCGCCGTGTTCCTGAGCGAAGCGGTGTGCCTCAGCGTAGGCTCTATCCATGATGTGCTGATCAATCTTGACAAGCCAGTGCCTGCCCGTGAGCAGGAGCCGACTCCCATCCGTGTGCAAGTGGCCCAGTAAGCCCGAAGCCCTGAGCAATCTCTCGACCCAGACTCTGTCTTTGCCTTCGTTCCACGCGGCCTCGACCAAATCGACACATCCGACGTCTTCGATTCTACTCTTGACATGACTCACGACGCGATCCCTCCGCTCCGCCTCTTCCTCGGCCTCGCGTTCTCGCTCTCGCTTCAGCGCTTCGCGCTCCTCGCGCTCCTTGGCCCGAATCACCTCCTCCGCCGCAGCCCTACGTTCGCGTTCGAGCGCGAGCGCCGCCTCGCGCTCCTCGCGGCCCTCGTCTTCCTGTCTGCGTCTGATCTCGGCTTCCTGGCGGAGCCACTCGTTGTAGGCGCGCTGCTGGTCTTTGCGGGCGAGGGACTTTGCTTTTTTCGTCCCGACGGTGCGGTGCGTGGGTGGTGCGCGGGCGGGCTGGGGAGGAGGTGGTGGGTTGGCGGGGCCGGGGGCGAAGGGGTCGCGGACGTCGTGGTGCTCGTCGTCTTCGACGTGGGCTTGGTGGCGCGGCGCTGGTGGCGGCGTGGGTGCGCGTGGTCGTGCGGCACCCGGGGGGCTGTCGGCTTCGTCGTCGTCTTGGAGAACGAGGCGCTCGTCTAGGGGTGCGTCGGCGGCAGCGGCTTGTGTGTCGCTATTTGTGGGGTCGTTGTCGGCTTGATTTGGCGGGTCGTGCGTGTCGGTCTGGTCCAAAGGCGTGTGGTGAGCGCCTTGTTGGCGGGCATTGTACCATTCACCGATTTGCGGGGCAAAATAGAGGGTTCCGCAGAGTATGGCTGTGTGTAATAGGTCTTGCGATAGTGGTGTGCCGGCGCGGGTGAATGGGAGGAGCAAGTTGAGCAGGGTGAAAGGAAGGGATAGTATGGCTCCCATTTTCGTGGCTGTTCACTGTCTCCTTGATCTATTTCCAGGGACAAGGTTTGGGGGGGTGTAAATTTGTGTTGAAGCGACAACGTCGTTCCGGATGGATCGACTTGGCTCAAGGTCCCATGGAGAAAGGTGGTTAAAATTCAGTTTACTGCGTGCTTGTTTACTGCGTTGTAATTTGGTGAGGGCACATGTGAACGAATTGGTGGGTGTTCATTTGTGTGAATTGAGTTGGGAATTGATGATGCAACAGCGGCCACCCGCTCGTAACGGCGGGACTTTGGTCCGCTAGTTCCGCATTTGGATTAGCGCACAACCTTGATGATTGCGCAGGTCAGCCGTATCAATCAAGCATAGTCTGCGAGCTTTTTGCTGCTTTTTCAATTCTGGTGTTGGGTAAACTTTCTTTCAAGTTTATTATGCCAGCAAAAACGGGTGAAATCTAGTGTTAAATGCCTACATTTTGTGCACTGGTAGCATCGGGCTGACTTTCTTCCTTACGGCCGTAACTTCTGTTTCGTCTGTGGCACATTTTACACAACTGAGCAAAAGATATACCAGGCCTGCGCCCCGCATTGGCCAAATGCAGTTTAGGGGTTCGGAAAAAATGGTATTTTGGTAACACTGGCCGACCGTTATGTGGATTTGCGGCCGAAACTAACAGCATCGGAGGTTTGTTCCTCCTTCTTCCTCCCAAACATGCGGGCCACCAGCCACAACTCAGCCGCCCGACCCGTAGTGCAACGCCAAGAATCACACTTTTACGGTCGAAAGGGTTAACATTACATGCAGTTTTGGTTGAGAGGTGATTCATGTCACCAATTACCGACATTTTTGATACCTTTGTGATATGCTAGACATCTCTTGGGTGTGGGGAATTGCCACAATGTCGGAATATCACCCGCAAGCCTCACCAATCATGCTCTCTGAGAAGCAAGCCATGCTCACAATCTGTGAAACAAGCGCTGACGAATGCGACTGAGATGTATGCACTTGGCGTTGAGAGAGCGCATTACGGTCCATACTACGCCATACGCACGCTAGATGTCATGGTATCCCGGCGTCTCCGTTGAGGGGCAATGGAGAACCCGCTTTCACAAGAGTATGGCACATCTCACCTGACAAGGCTCGTTATATATAAGAGCAATCCCCAGATGAACAGAAGACATGCAGATATCGAACCATCTTTCATCACTACATTTACCCTCAGACTATCTAGAGTGAACGTCTTGAGCCATTTTCATTTCAAGTACAACCTTTCATCTTCCTCTCAACTCTAATCTACCTAGCCCCCTAAATCCCTTTCTATCAATCAAGTCGTCCTCGACCTCCTTTCTACACATAGCCCAATATGGTTGTCCCAACAACTGATGTCTGGCCCAATACGGCCGGTTTCGACACAGACTATCAAGAGCACGAACCCGTCGAACTCACCGTTCACGGTAATATCCCACGATATGCTGCAGGTGTTCTTTACCGAACAGGACCTCTGGGATTCAAGGCGAAAACAGACGACGGCAAAATCTGGGCAGCAAGACATTGGTTCGACGGCTTCTCCTGCGTCCATCGCTTCCAGATCGACTTCCCGGATGGCAGCAATACTGCCAAAGTCACCTATCGATCCAGGCGTACAGTAGATGAGTACATCAACATGGTTCGCACCACGGGCAAACTTGAGACTGCGACTTTCGGTGCGAAGCGAGACCCGTGTGAGAGCTTCTTCCAAAAGGTCATGAGCATATTCGTACCTAAGATGAAGAACGAGAAGAACGTCGGAGTAACTCTATCCATCAACATGCCTGGAAGCGAAAAGGTTGCCCGTGGTAAGCCACTCGAGACCAGCAATCATACCAGTGGCATAAAGACGCTGTGCGCGAAGACAGATTCCAGCGCTCTCAAGTTGATTGACCCGGAGACCTTGGAGCCAAAGGGGTATGCTCGCCAATCGGCCCTTCACCCAGACCTCAGAGGACCATTCTCCGCCGCGCATGCAAAGTCCGATCCAAACACAGGCGATATGTACAACTTCAATCTTGAGTTTGGTGCTCTTGGCTGTACTTATCGTGTCTTCCGCGTATCGGCCGCTACAGGAGAAACAGAAATCCTTGCGACCTTCCCCGGCACGCCAGCATACATTCACTCTATCTTCCTGTCTGAGAGCTATGTTATTGTCTGCGTCTGGAACTCCCACATCACATGGAACGGCATTGGGCTTCTGTGGCACAAGAACATTGTCGACGCCATTGCCCCTTTTGATCCCAACTCAAAAGCCCGCTGGTACGTCGTCGATCGCAAATCAGACAAAGGCCTGGTTGCAACTTTTGAGAGCGACCCTTTCTTTTGCTTCCACAGCATCAATGCCTGGGAAGAACCGTCTGCCTCTGACAAGAGCAAGACCGACGTCATTGTGGAACTGAGCATGTTCGAGAACCTCGATGTTGTAAAGCGCTTCTACTATGACAACATCATTTCTTCCATCGACACACCAGAATTCAATGGCGAGAAGCGCATGTCTTGTCTCCCTATGCAGACACGATTCCGACTCCCAAGCGTCGACGTTGGCTTGCCTCCTACAACGCCTCTGCCAGCTGAACTTGTGTTCAAAGCGGAAAAGTTCAACTCCATGGAACTCGGCACCATCAACCCAGCCTACCTCCTTCGCCCCCACCGCTACACCTATGGCTGTGCAGACCGTCTCCGATCAACATTTTTTGACGGTATCGTCAAATTCGACAACCACACGCTCAAGTCCATCTTCTGGGAGCAGGACGGTCACACGCCTGGTGAGCCAATTTTCATTGCTGACCCAGAAGGCACTGAGGAAGATGACGGTATTCTGCTGAGTGTAGTGCTTGATGGGTACAAGGAGAAGAGCTACCTACTTGTCCTCAAGGCAAAGGATTTGAGCGTTTTGGGCAGAGCAGACATGCATGGCCCTATGAGCTTTGGATTCCATGGCACATTTGGTGGGGCAGGCGCAAAGTACAGAGGTGATATCTAATCGTGGAAGCAACTTGCTTAACAAAACCGTAACGTTTTTTATTGTGGAAAATAATATATATATCCAGAAAGTAATCGCTCCTAACTCTCCACCCACCATCCAACACCAATCTATTGCAAATTCAACACATTCTCCTCCCCTCCCCCACAAACCAAACAGCCTTACACCCCGTGCCCAATTGCCGCCGCCGCCGCTCCATATCAGTGAAATCTCATCCACCTTTATTTCTCGGGCTGACGGTTCACAACAGGGACCCTGAAAGTACCCTTGTAAGGTTGAAGATCCTTTCCACCATTCACCTTGATGTCCACATTGTGCTCTCCCGACACCAACAACCTGACTGGCTTGGTAACGCACTGACTCATCATGAAGGCTATTTTTTTTTCACACAAATTTGTCAGCCGCACCAATTCCTTCATACCAACCCTCCCACTCTTGAGAAGGAAAATAAAAAAGACACCAAAGAGAGCAAGGAAGACTTACTGTCAGTAGTATTGTCATAGGAATACTGGAGCTCCTGGGGCGTGCAGACGGGGGTTGTGCGTCCGTTGAAATAAGTGTACGAGGCCGTGCAGTCGGTTACGAGGGGTTTCTGGTAGTAGGGTGACTTGTACTCGGCGTGCAGCTTCTCGGTGTAGCCGCGTCCTCCGGCGAAGTCGTGCATGATGGTTACGTCCCAGTAGCCAATGTCTTCGATGGCAGGGGCGGCGCTGACGGCGGTGACGAGGGTGAGAAGAGTGGTGGCGAAGTGCATGTTTGCTAGGTTGTTGTGGGGAGTTTGAAGGTTAGAAAGTTAAATGCGGGTTGTTGGAGTTGGAAACAAATGGTAGATGGAATGCTGTGATGATGTTGTAGCTGGTAGTCTGGCGGGCAGTGTCTTATATGTTATTTTACTTTCTCTCTATTCCTGCCGTGACTCCCCTTAGAGCCAATGCTTCTCGTAAATAAGATTCGAAATCTGCTTCTGTAGTAGAAGGCTTGGTGGGTGCTAAGACGCCGTATTCGGCTTTGATCGTACTTGGGAGTGCGGAGCTTAATGTCACGATGTTTTGACGTTACGCCACATAACGGCCGGCCGAGAATCTCGCCCCGGATCTGAGGCAAACCTTCCCACGTGAAAGAGTGTATTTTGGCGGCACAAATGAGGGGGGGCGGAAATAAGTCCGGGAGCTATGAAGAGGTACAGCAGGACCGTATCAAGGGACGGAATCGCAATATGCAGAAGAGAGGATGGTGTGCTTTTTTATAGCTCACATATTGACTGGGTAGGTTAATAGAACCTCTTTATATGTCTCAAATTCGCACAGATGAAAGTGATGAACGCACGACAATTTTCTTTTCCACCTGCACCTTTACTAGCTCCTTAGAGATGCCTCTCCTTTGATACAGGTATGATTGTCATCACAACCAACTTTCAACTCCAAAGTTGTTGTTTTTACCAATCCCCGCGGTTACATCAATGTCAGATGTGACGTGTAAGACGGACGGGTGGTTCCGAGATTGAAGTACACCATGCTGAAATCATACAATGCGAAGCATCATGTCGACAGTGGCGTAAAGTGGGCGATGATTTTATTCTCCCGACTTCAAAGTTTTTGGAGTCGTTCGGAGAGCTCGCAATGTGCTCTGGTTGGATAAGAGGTGGAAGTGCTGATGTTCCGCACTTCCATCACTCAGTGGCTAATTATAACCATTGGCGGTGTGGAGATGCTAGTAAGCAATACGATGTAAGAGCATTTTTCTGCCAGTTTAATTTGATTGACCAAATCACAAAAATAACTCGAGGAATACGATGCGCGATCTGACTACACTGTCGTGCTTGTGCATTTACTTTTTCTTTGGTGTTTTAAATCAAGCGCATACTTTGTGGGCGTGGAGTAAGACCATCCGTGTTTGACTTTGTACAATAGCCAATGAGAATACTGGCTGTCGTGAAGAGTCCTCCGCAAGAGTGATTGGTGATGAAATAGACAGACACTAAGTACAACTGAGTCGCTGATACAGTGGCCAAAATAGGGGGTGGTAGCTATAAAGACGGCGCAACGCCCGCAAAGAGGTTGCACACTAATAAATGCTGCACACGCTGTGACAAGACAGCACACGACTCTTGTACCAACAAAGAGGGTTTAAGCCTCCCAAAACCACGGTAATCCTAGGTATTTTTTTGCAACTATGAATCGCAAGCATTGCGGTAGTGCTACACGATGTTGCTGCGAAATTGTTACACTGATGTTTTGTGGGGAGCGTCCTTGTCAACTTTACCTCGAATCTCAACCGGAGTATGAGTTTGGTAGCTCGTAATGCTGATGGCCTGAGTAAAGAGAAAAATATCCTGTTGAAGTCTGGATAGATAGTTCATCGGCGTGTGAGTAATCCAGTCCACCACTAACAACGGATCCCCCTTTTGGTATGATTTTGAGCGAGGATATGTCACGTGGTTTGCGTTCGGCTCTCGAGTCATGGTATGTTCAACGGAGGTGTCGAATTTTTGAGCCACTTTTTCTAGCTTCAAAAGAACAATCCTTTAGACGGCTGCCAAAACCTCTCTTATCATCCAATGACAACCTGAGCTGTCAAGTCTTGTGTCCGGGTACTCCCGAATCCCCAATTTCGCCGAGCAGTCCCGAATCCCCGAGTTTGACTCGACGCCACGCGCCAATCAAAGTTGGAGAAACGGGATCCGGCTGATCAGCAGCCAAGTGGATGAGGCTCTTGATGTGGGTCAAGATAGTAACGACTATTCATGTGAAGCCATTCGGTGATGGCTCGGTTTTGCTTTGGTGCAAAATCACGGTCTGCAAACGCATATATATCGCCACGATGGAGAACGCTCAACCTGGGCATACATCAGTCACTCAGATACCATCTTTCAACTTACGCAAAGCCCTTCATTATCCACGACTCCTCGATATAATACAATTCACTCGCTACTATCTTTTCATACTCACTATGGTTGAACCAACCTCCAACACCTCGGACCGCAGCTCTTCTGTGACTCTAACCCCTCGCCCATCCAGCTCGTCGGTTCAGCATCACGCATTGTCAGCTTCTTCACTTCGATCTGCACTCAAGAAGCCATTCCAGGGCTGGAGCAAGGAGCTTCTTCGAGCACGAGACAACGACGATGACGATTATAACTTTTCGAGTGGTATGCGTCGTGGCGCGCAAGACTACAACGACGAGGCTTAAGACACTGCTTTGCTCAGCAACAAAAGAAAGGAAGTCGATAGGGGATGAAATGGTGGAAGAAAAGCTTGGTGACTGGCTTGCATTGGTTGGAGAGACGCAAGCTGATTTCGGCTGGATCGGCTCACTGTATTTTGTGCTAGTCGAAGGCATGTGGCGATACGTATTGATTGCGGACAGAGCGGTGCCAACGTTACGTTTCCGAGCTATTTGTTATTGATACCCGGCTCATTTCATTATTGTAATTTTGCGCAATCAATCCTTGTTCGATTTGACGAGTTCCGCGGACTGCAACATGCGAGACCGATGCGTTGATCATTGATGTCTGGTGCGATGTTATGTCATGAAGTCTTGGCGCATGTCTCTCTCAAGACCCACGTTCCCTGCTCTTTTGGACGGTCAACCATGCACCTCAAACTTGACGTTCACGATGTTCACCGGCCCCCATTGCGCTCTCACATAACCGATGGGTGCAATGCCCCTTTGCTCCATAGTGTGCTAGGGCGCGCTAACTCCGGGCTGGCTTAACGAGATTACCATCACCCCGGCATTGGTTCACAAGGCGACGCCCGAAACACGCCTCAGCCAAAGCACTCGCAGGCCAAGCCGTTCAAATCATCGGACCTAGCAGCAGAATCAATACCCAAGTCAGCTATTTGTGCAGCAGAGGATATGCATGGCGAACCAAAAGAGCGAGGGCCTTTGGACCTCCAAGTCGCTGGCCAGATCGCTGTCAGCAGGTCAACACAAGCTATTTACAACTGCAAGCCTCGTGCAATGCCCGCTCTGATCAACGCCCTGCGCCGCTGCATACATACTGTTGTGGAGAATTTTCCATAATTTCTTCTAGGCAACCATCTTGAATAGGTTTCAGCCAGCCCAGGTTAGTGGCCAATCAGCCTCAAAAGGTACTAGGCGGATCAATATCAGGGGGCTGTGCGCCTAAGGCCGCCTGCATCGTGCGTTGTTCCCGCCGTCATGCAGGCAGACAGCCAAAGTCCTCCTGGTTAAATAGACTGCGGTATCCCGATCTACGCCTTCACAGCTAAGCTTCGCTCGTTACTGCTTGTTGTTTCTAGCCTAATCATAGCACATTCTCTTCCAACGACATACCATTCCCAGTTCAGAACACTCAAATCAGCATAATGTCTAAGATTTTCTCCACCGCCCTTCTTGTCTCATGCGCGGCAGCGCAACTGACCACTTCGGCATGGATGGCGGGCACCGGAAGCAACAGCCTTTCGTATGCTGCCTCCGTAATCACTGTTGAAAATGATAGTACTACAATGTCTATTGACGTTAAGGGCATGACCGTAAGCAGAAATAAATTTTGACTCTAGTCACACATTCTTATATCAAGTCCAGGAAGATCTAGGTGCGGTAGGCGAGATAGGCCAGACGGTCACTCTTGCAGGCAACACCTTCTACGGAGTCAATGCTGTGGCTGAGAATGAAGGCGTGACTGTGACCATTGTGGGCCAATGCACACGCAAGAACACCGATGATCAGGAGGCTACATGCACTATGTCGACAAAGGGTCTCGACGCCGCCATCAGCTCAGCCTGTGCAGACGCCGATTCTGACGACGAGTTGTGCAGTGCGGGAGCTCTTGACACGAGTACGACCACAACACTGCCAGACGGCTACTTCAATATGGTTCCATTTGTCGTTACGGCTGGCGAGAACCTGCTCCCCAGCGCTTCTGCAGCTGCTACACCTTCTGCCGGCAGTGCCTCCCTTACCTCTTCCAACTCCGCCAAGCCCACTTCTTCGGGCTCAGAGGAGGCTGCTAGCTCTGGAGCTTCCCGCACTTCCCAGGGTTCATCAGCAGCCCCAGAGGCTACCAACGCTGCGCCGTTGATGACCATGGTTCCTGCTTTGGCTGGTCTCGGTGCCGCTGCCGCTTTCTTCTTGTAAACGTTCTTGGAGGAGACGTATCGTCTTGCTTCAAAAACCCTGAGTAGCTTTCCGCGTCACGAATCCGTCATCAGCACAAAGTGCCTAAAATCTATCATACCCAGTCATTACTCTTTTTTAATGATATAAATTCTCACGCTGTTTTGAAACTACTCTCAGCCATAAAGGATTGTGCCTTCAATTAGAAAACTTTTCCTGAAATCTTGATCTTTCGTCTCATCGTTCGAGGCAAACCAGCCTCTCCCCCTTTTTCCCAAAGCAGCAATTTCCATGTTTGTCTTTCATCACTTTTCCGCAGTACACATGGCCTTCGCAGTGGTTACTCGCGCACTTCCAGCCGCTTACTTCACCTCCTTTCTCAAGCACATAGCATCCCTCTTTACAACCCCTGACTCCCATGTCCGCTCCATTCGCAACTCGCGCATGTCCGCATCGCATGTCCCACGGAAACCCATCGCTCTTCACGACTACCGTTTTCCGAGGCAAGCCCGGCAAGTCCTCAAGAGACACGCGGCTGAAGTCAGCATGTGAGTTTGAACGCGGTAGTTCTGGGATGTCGTGGGCATTTTGACGAGTCGATGTGCTTGGTTTCAGCGACATCCATCGGCGCGGTGGGCGTGGCGGGACTAGAACGGTGAGTTTGTAGGGTTCTTTGTTCCATTCGTACTCTTGTAGGGGGTCTATGCTCGGATCGTAATACATTGGTCCTGAATATCGATGTGTGTATGTGTTATAGAGATGTTTGTGGAGTGCTGGTGGGGGGTATATTACAATAAATAATGGCTGTAAATAAGAGACGTGCGGGTTTCTTTGCTGATCGCGAGACAAGGGCTTTGTGTGGGTGATTGCGCGTGACCCTGCATTGTGATTGGGACAAACGGAGGACGTCGTGTTAGATAATGCATTAATGACCAATGAATTGTTGGAGTCACTGTTCAGCTGCGGCGTTGGCCCTTGTTACGCAGGGTGTGAATACATGGCAACAATGGGAGGATGATGCAAACAAGTGTGTCTGAAAATACACTTCCAAATGCTATCTAGAGCTAAATAAGTTTCCAGGGCAATTGATTAGGCTTGTGGTATTTCCGGTTTGTCCTGTTCGTATCGATGTGATGGCGTCATGTTCGTATAACTGATAGGGTGTTTTCTTGCAACACGGCATCTGCTTAAGATAATGACCTGACAAGGTACTCACGACGCAAGGATGTCAATCACGGAAATTCTTCTATAAGTCATAGAGCTTCATTCATGATCCATGTCTATAAAAGAGACAATATTGGTAACACCGCAAACCTTACGCCCCTGATCATTCACAATCACTCCGTTTACACATGCCATTCATGTTTGGTTTGGATTCACGAACATGTCGAACCACTCCAATGCGAGAAGCATTATCTGTCTCTACTTCCAGTTCCTTGTTCAACCATAAACCGTGCATGAACTCGTAAATGGAGAGATTTATCAACACCCAACTTCACCCGGTCGATGCGTGCAGCATCTGCACTGAACCCTTCAGCACGACTCACCAACCCGTTGCGCTTCCATGCCAACATATATTCGGCCACAACTGCATCAAGAAGTGGCTCACCGGCGGTCGAGGCAACACAAATGCTTGTCCAACATGTCGCCATATCTTAGTCCCCAAGCCCAACCTCCGCGGCTCCTTCAACGTAAACTCCATCTGGCAAGAACTCTGCCACCAAACCAACGAGCGCCTCCAAGTCTTCATGCAGAGACTCTGGTCCGGCCTCCAAACCCTGTGGAAAAGCCACCCCAAAGGCTCCTTCTCCGTAACCTCCATCCTCAACCAAGCCATCATCCCCGCCCTCACACACACCATCCGCACCACACGCCCCTCCCCAGGCCCAACCCCAGACCCCATCCTCGACTGCTACAACCTCACCTCCGCATCTTGGGACTCCCTAGGAAGACCCGACATCGCCACCGGCCTCGCCATCCCCCTCGTGCGCCTCGCCCGGCTCACCGCCAACGCAGGCGCCGTCCTCCCCAAATACCTAACCACAAGCTCGCGTACAAACCGCCTTATCTGGCGCGCAAACGCCTGTCTCCCCCTCACTTGCGACCACATCTCCTGGGACTTCATCATGCAAGCCGCCGCCCCCGCGTCAGTGCGCTACTTTGACCTGCTGCACCTCTACACCGTGCTGATCAGCCAGGGCATTGCGCATTTCCCTGCCCCGCACCCGTTTCCAACAAAAAGACACGAGGTTGTGAATTTAGTGGTCGAGCGGTGCTGTAGTAAGATTGGGGGTGGGGGATGTGCGTGGAAGGGGCGGCCGAGTGGGGAGTTCAAGGATGTGCTGGTGGGTGTTTATGAGGAGTTGAGGAGATGGCAGGGGGAGAAGGGGAGGATGAGTTTGAGGGGGAGTTATGAGGAGGAGGGGGTTGTGAGGGGGGTTTGGGCGCTTGCTGGGTGGAATAAGGAGAGGGCGAGATCGTGATTGAGGGCTTGGGGATGGGGGGGTGTATGTGTGGCTTGGTCCTGGGTTTGGGGGGTTTGTAACGGGAGGGGGCTGTACGAGATGTCTTGTATCACCATACAGGGGAAGTTTTTGTAGTCTTTTAATGCTGAACTAACAGGGGCTCTGGTACTTTTGCGTACTGGACTGGGCGATGGATATGTATGCCTTCCCTTGAGGGGTATGCGGTTAGGATCCCCGGCGGCGAGCAGCTATGTTTAAAAGGTCATAACGTGTCTCTATGACCTGGGGACTATCTGACGTACATGTTCCTGCAGTGAGGCTGTCTTGAGCAAATCCCTAGATGAATGTACACTCTTTTCCAACGTTTTTGTCGATTACATATTTGCACAGATAGGGAATCATGAATGCATCCGCAGTCTCACTCAACCTGCATCCATCTCAGGATCCATTTGAAATCTCATGTTCCTAGGGGAGGCATGGACAAAGCTTAGCTTTATGGAGGATTGAAGTGGCTGATCGTAGAAAAGAGTGATATCGTTTCAATCCTCTCAATGACCCGGCAACTCTCCAGAATCGTCGCTTCGGAAACATCTATTTCACACTGACTTCAACCAAACCCACCGTATCAACAAAAAAAAACCCTCTTTGCCATCCCTCTCCCCCTCTTGCCTCACTCTAAACCACATCCCCGACTTTAACAACCGTCGCAAACACATCCGCCAACTCCGCTAGCGCCACCCTCTTCACCTCCTCCCCGCTCACCCCGGGGATGTCGCGATCCCCAATCGCCTCCTCCGCAAGCAAGACTTCGTACCCCTTCTGGAACCCCTCGCGCGCAGTCGTCGACACGCACATGTGCGCCATGTAGCCCGTCAAAACAAGCTTCTTGATACCCATGCTCTGCAGCGTTTCGTGTAGAGTGGTCTGCTCGAAGGCGCCCGGGAATTGTTTCCAGATAGTTGGTTCGGTGTCCTTGGGTGGGAGCGGGTTAGTTCTTCTGTGGCGATGTGCAAGATGGAGTGGGGGTGATGGGGGTGGGGGAAGGGGGAAGGTGTATTTACTTGTGCTTTTAGTTCCTGGAATTCATCGGCGAGATGGGTACCAGGTGTGAATACTGGGGCGCCGTCGTCTTCCTTGTGCAGGATGTGGATTATTTTTCCGCCGGCCTTGCGGTATTTGGTGAGGAGGCCGGCAATGGCTTTTCCGCTTGCTTCAGCGTTTGTTACTTTGAGTTTGCCGGAGGCCTTGTTGGTGTTACATAGGTTTGCGGTTCTGCTTCACTGCGGGGTAGGGAAAGTGGGATGGGGATGTACGTATTCATTTTGCGCGTCAATGATGAGGAGCGCAGAATCGCTGGTGGATGCAGTGGACGGTGGGATTCCGACAATGTCACGGAAACTTGGTGCCATATTGACTCTGCGTCTTGTTTATTCGTCTCATGTTGTGAATAATGATGGCAGTGAACTCAGCAATGTCCTATATAGAGTCTGGATATAGACAGGCTACCCTTGGGTTTAAAGTGTTATATAATTGTTTAAGAGGCGTTCTATAGTCATTCAAGTAGTTGCTGCCGAGACATATTAGATACCGTTGTACGCCGGCGGAATGATTGACAAAAGGCATCCCGCAGTGGGGTGCCTGCATGACGCGATAATAACCCTCCGGCCCAATGGGACTTGCTCATCCCGCGTCGCTCTCTGTAACGTTGGGATCCCTGGTGTAAGTCTTGTTTGCGTGATCCGTACATTGGACCTAGTATTCCAAGAATGAAAAAAAAATCCGTCTTCATAGAATGAGTGCGGCACTGGGATAGATCGTTCATTTCTCCCATAGGGACTATTTGTAAATGTGCGTGGCGCAGCCATACAGGTGGCATGGATCTTCATAACAGGGCGCACAAATTGAAACGAATGTCCATCGAAAAATAGCCATGTTGCTAGATAATTGTTGCTTCTGTTCTAGTGATGCAATATCGCAATAATATTTCGATTAAAGATATCTCCAAGACAAATTGGGTAGTAGACTACATACAACACAGCCCCCATCCTCTCCATGATCACAAACTGCGCGCGGTATCCCCTAAGTTAAAATCCAGAACTCTGCTACCATATTTTACTATCAACATCAGCTGGAAACTCATTCTTACAGTAAAAACCAGCAGCTTACATCAAAGGTACGTCCTACCCCCCGGCGCCTGCTCCCTAATCTCCTTCAACAACCTCCCATGCTCCTCAATAGCCTTGCGACTCGTCTTCTGCGCCTCTCCCTGACGCAGCGCATACGAGTACCAAGTTTTGAAGCAGTCTTTTTGTTGTGCGCTCGGATAGCGTACGCCCTTTGCACGATGGGCTTGCAGGACTGCGTTTTCAAGAGTGCGGGTTGCGGCGGGCATGGCTACGGTTTGTATTGGGGATGCTGGAGTTTGCACAATAGATTCAATGTCTTGAAGATTTTATCGACGAGAAGAAGAAGACGGCAAGAAGTTTGAGACAGAAAGAATCTCAATGCAAGATGGTGGGAAGTAGATGGCGCTGTGAAAGTATTTGATCACGTGACTGTTATGGCTTTCTGACTCTGAGAACCTGGCAACTCTTCTTGTCACAGAACAGAGATGCGTTGCGCGACGGCGGTATTTAAGGTAAAGGACAGGAATAGAAAAATCTGGGGAAAGCAAGCTGACCGAATCACCGTTTTAATCTTTTTTGCACTTTTCGGCTCTCCGCGATCGTCTCCGCATTCTCGTACAACGCCAGTTGTGCGCATCCGCACGGGAAAGGGGGGTTCAACCATTCCCATCACATCTCAACCCCAGCAGCAAATAGTGCCCGGGGGATTTAGGATCGGGCGAGAAAGTCAAAGTCCGACGCGGACCATTTCTATCCTTTTTGTCCGAAATACGCATCAAAACACCCAAAGAAGCAAAAAAACTAGTTCCGTATACTTTCCCAAAGCTGAAAAATCCCGAGTCTCTGGTAGGTTTCGCAAGGTATACTCGAAGTGGAAGTGTTTTGCTTTTGTCTTAACGGGCTGTCAGCAAGAGTGTGTGGTTTGATCGGGAAAGAACGGGATGGTTTGCGTTTTGATAAGATGCACGCAGCGCGGTGAACGTGTAGATCAGGGTCGCTTATCTTGGGGGAAGATGGTGAGTTTGGCACCGGTGGGATGGATCAAAACGCGGGGTAAGGACTAAGTTCGCCGAAGATCACTGCACTGGCATCGGCGGTGTGATTAGAAGTGCAGCACCGACACGTGGACTGCGGATGCGCATCTTCGATGTTGATGCGATGGATGGGCTGTTGCTATCTGACAAAAACGTGGTGTCATTAGAATCTAGCAAAGAGAAACAGGGGGGGTAGGAAAAAGGTACGTACCGTTGATTTGGCAACCTAACAGGATGAGTTGGGTCAGCGTGTCTCGAACCAGACTAACAGACGCAGTGCCCCCCTCGTACCTGAGCATGGAAGCAAGACCGTTTTCTGTGTTCCCTCCCTCCGCAAAAAAGAAATCTGGGCATCCATCAGCAACATTTATGAGTAGCGTGACCAACCCTCTTGTTGGCCCCCCAATCATGGCTAAATCCAAATGTCGCCACCCAACCGCCCATCCTGATCATTCGGACACCGATGCCTGCAAAGACCCCGAGGGCCTTTTTGTCATCAACAACTCCGAGGAGGAACTATTAACCCCAGGGAATGGATGAAACGATAAGTGTACTACGACGATAATCGAGATTTGAGCTAGATAAGGTATGTTGGTGTATTTGTTCTCTTTTATATGAAAGTATATTGGGCCAATGTAGATGTAAGGCTGGTGTCCCGTCTAATCCGTGCTTCGGTCACGTGCTGCTGATGGTTTGTGGTGCTTCGTTTCGAGAACGACACGCCATGAGAGATTTTTCGTGATATGAAGTGTTGAGTAATGTGTCGTTTAACTTGTATGGAACCTGGAATCATGATAGTTGCAAAGACATTGGAATCAATGTTGTCTGTCGCATTCGTTGTGATCTCTGTGGCATCTTGTCTCAACAGAGTTCAGTGTTCGTTGTTGAGTACGCTTGAAGACGGTCCGACTTAACATCATGCCTATGTTTTAGTTGTTGCAAAGCATATCGATCCTACCTGCCTTGTTGAGTAGACCGAGCGACACAATATCGTAAATCACTTTAAAACACGACCTGATATCAGCTTCATGTTCCAGTATCTAGTGTCCTTGGGCATGTGCGTGATAATCTCTCAGATTTGCTCGGAGTTGAGGATGAACCCATGAGGGACATCGAGACCCTATCTGATAGTGTTTCAGTCAATCAAGTCACAAGGCTATATGGTCAATTACAGTTTCCTTTCTAGTAAGATGACAAGACGGCAGAAGTCTGATGGCGAGTGCTTTTCCAATTATCCCCACTGTATATCCGAGGTGAAGGACAAGACGTCGTGTGGTTCCATCGCCATCGCCATTCAATCAGGACCGAATCGCAATAAAGCAGCGCCCAACAAGAAAAAGGCGACAATCCTTGTGAGAATAATCACGCAAGTAGCTGACAACCTACACTACAAACTGAAAAAGGGGGTTTCCAATCAGAAATACATGCTCAAGATGATTCGATCTTGATGGGCGTCAAACCAATCAACTTTCCATGCGAGATCGCGATGAGGGCGATGAAGGATCTCTAAAAGACATGCTTCATCGTCCAAACCCACACTTGAGTCGCAGGAAACTGCAGGCGAACAAAAATAACATATGGACTTCCGATCGAGCCAAAAAAACCAAGCCATAGAACTTGCGCTGCCTCATCTGGCAAAAGTGAACACGCCACTAACCCCAGGTCAAGCCGGCTAAACAGAAGAAAGTACAAAAGTAAGAGTTAAAAGTCGGTTATAGCCATGGCGGCCAGCTTTGCTAGGCATAAACCACATTGAAGTCATTGAATCTAGTCCAAGATGCGGGATATTGTCTTGTATACCGCTATTTTGCCGCTTGTTGAGGTTGGGTTCCCACACAGCCGCAACAAAAAAACGTGGGACTGAGATGTATATGTTTCTTTGCCACATACACCAAAAAAGGTGGAAAGTGGGCGCAAAGGGAAAATTTTTTGATCAAGGAAAACCGGAGTTTGGTACCCGGGAAAGAGATAGTAAGAGGAAGAAGAGAGAAAATCAATACTCAATCATGCCCTTGTCCAATAAGACTGTTTTTATCAAAACCTGGTCCCTGTTTTCTATGCACGTAGCGTTTACCTTTTTTGTCTTTTGGCGGGTTTGAATTTCTTTATCGTTTTTTTCAACTTTTTTCCTATATGGTAATGCATGAGTTTACCATGTCTCCACAACCCGCTCCAATTTGCTCCGTGGGTGTTTTGTTTTGTTTTTGCTCCTTTATCTTCCTTTTTCTCCTGAAACTTTAAATCTTTTGTCGTTGCCGAGTTTCCGGACAAAAAAAGAGATGGGTAACACGGGACCCGCTTTGTTCGTTTACTATCATTTCCCAAAACAGTTTTCGTAATGCAATTTTAAAAGATAATGCATGTTGGTAACTTTTTGTCGAAGCAATAAAACTTGAAGTATTTGTCAGATGGAATTCATGAGACAATAGGAATCGTCCGGTGGTTCCAATAGTCTGTAAGGTGACCTGTTGTGGTTCGAATACTAGCACAGGCTAATTTCTAAGTTCGCCCACACACACGCCATGTTGATGTGTGTGGAGCCGCCCGATCTTGGCATGGAACCGGGGTGCAGTAGTCTGGATGACGTCCTATAGTTCTCCCAAGTATAGTGGCCTAGTGTCGACAGTGCTTCTGAACTTCCCAAACGAGTTGGATATCCGGATAACGTTTGTGGAGGGATTGAAGACAGTCCCCAAAACCATGTCATGTGCGACCTTTGCACAATTTCCGATGGCTATGGGATTTGTTTTCTTATCTGTCCAATTTGGGCATATTCCTTTTCTCCGCCGATTTTCGTGATTCGTTCCAGAACCTTTTCTCCGTTGGCTCACCCACATGTCGACCCACTTCTGCACTCCACGTCTTCCCTCCACCCAAGATATCCACCGCGCTTGGCGTGTCGTAGTGGAAGCGGTAGAAGTACCGGCTCCTATATATCTTGGCAGGACGTGTTCAGCCGGTGGTAAACTGAAAGATTGCCGAGATTTCCGCCTAGAGCCTTCTGTGTCCCGTCACGTGCGATACTACCCCTGATAGATTCATCGTGTATGCATGTTTAGCCCGATTGAAGTTGTTCTTGGGCCGTGAAAGGATATGGGGAGTGTGGGGTAGGGTGTCTGCACTTATTTCTGTGGCGTTCCTTTATATTAACGTCCTCGAAACCCGGTTCAAACAGCGCGTAAAACCCGGGTAGAGCGATGTTCTTTTAATTATGTTATGCAGATTTACGCAAGGGCTACGGATCTTTTTGATCACCCTGTCGTGGCCGTTGCTACCGAAACTGGATGCCGATCGGTGCATGTTCCTTGTGTCTTGACTTGGTCATTGTGGCCGCCGCTTAGGGCGAGCTTGTCGAAGTGAGAGGCTCTAAACCCACCACCAATGTGTGCACCATCACGAATAGAGACAGCACGCAAGATGAGACCTCATGACCCCCAGTGTCACTTCATCCTGCGATTCAGGCTCAACTATCACTCGGCGTAGAGATATAAGTTGATAGCTGCTCCCAATCAGTAGCATCACTGCATCCAACACAGATCAGCAACACTCAACACAAGATGGTTTCCTTCAAGTCTCTGCTTCTTGCCGCTGTGGCTACTACCAGCGTCCTCGCTGCTCCCTTCGACTTCCTTCGTGAGCGCGAAGATGGCAACGCGACTGCTCTTCTTGAGAAGCGTCAGTCTACTCCCAGCTCCGAGGGATACCACAACGGATACTTCTACTCGTGGTGGACTGATGGAGGTGGCTCTGCCCAGTACACCATGGGCGAGGGCAGCAGGTACTCTGTGACCTGGAGGAACACTGGCAACTTTGTTGGTGGCAAGGGGTGGAATCCTGGAAACGGCCGGTAGGTTGCGAAGACTGTTGGTGATGGGAATTTTACTAATGTGACTTCTTAGTGTCATCAACTATGGCGGAGCCTTCAACCCCCAGGGCAACGGATACCTCGCCGTGTACGGATGGACTCGCAACCCGCTTGTCGAGTACTACGTCATTGAATCCTATGGAACCTACAACCCCAGCAGTGGAGCCCAGATCAAGGGAAGCTTCCAGACTGACGGTGGTACTTACAACGTCGCCGTCTCCACTCGTTACAACCAGCCCTCCATTGACGGAACAAGGACCTTTCAGCAGTACTGGTAAGTCATTTTGGTTTTTGATTCGACAGAAGCGTAGATTTTAACTATTATGACAGGTCTGTCCGCACCCAGAAGCGTGTCGGTGGAAGCGTAAACATGCAGAACCACTTCAACGCTTGGTCCCGCTATGGCTTGAACCTTGGTCAACACTACTACCAGATCGTCGCCACTGAGGGTTACCAGTCTTCTGGAAGCTCTGACATCTACGTGCAGACCCAGTAGAGGAGTTGATGTTTGTGAAGCGAGCAACTACCAGACGAGATTAGGCAAGAACAGTGCCTCAGATAGTTGTGAGCAGATTGGAGAAAGAGCCATGCGTTGGATTTTCTGTACCTAGAAGCATGTCAATTCACGCGCTATAAAACCTTACGTTTCTGAAGTTCTTCTTTGTTTTGCAGTGGCTGAGCATTGTGTTGTGGTCCAGCAATATCGGCTAAAATCTACGTGAGGTTCAAAACGAAAATCACGAAGTAGCTGACATGATGACCAAACGATAGCACTTGTCCCTAGTAGGTGTACCAATGTGTTGATTTCACCGGGGTGCCTTGATGCTCGTTTTGTGTGTAGCTGACTCATAAAGGCTTACATTACAGACCTCATAGTCTCGTAGCTATCGAATGCTGGTGTGAGTTCGACGTAGCTAACGCGCGTATACTGACTGATCGAACGGTTTTCTCTTCTCATCTACCAACAAGCAACCGCATACTACTCTTGCTCGGCAACTTTACATTTTGTTGAAAACGTTTGTTCCAGTCATGTATTGCTCCGTGTCCTCTCTCATCCTGCCCTCGGTCTCCATATCATAACTGTCCTCGGTGACAATCAACTCATCAGTCAGTCCTTCCAACAATACACTATTCTGCGCCTCAGCCTCGGCCATGAGGTCGAAGCTTTCTCCAGACTCACTGTCGGCCTTTTCAAAAACGTCAAGACCACCATCGAACCAACGTGCCTGCTCACCAATCCAGTCAACACCACCTGTACGGCGACTTCGGCGTAAGACTTCCTTCTCTTCGAGAGGAAGCAAAGGAAGATCAACCTTGGGCGGCAGAATAGTGCGGCGGTGCCAAGCACCGAGGAACATGCCTTCAGGATCAACTTCGTTGCGGACACGATTGTATTCATCAAGGTCGTTACCATAAGCTGACGAAAGATAGGCGTAATCGACGGATTGAAAGTTCTTTGCCCAATGAGGTCGGCCATTGTATTCTTTCATCAAATGCTCGAATGCTTCGTAATAGCGTTCTCTGCAAGGGGGATCCTGGCCATAGGGACGATACAGCGTGGCATTGAGATACAGGGAAGGCGTGTGCGAATAAGAGGTATCAAGGTACGGACGCGGCTCTCGGTCGACAGTGTTTGCAATACGGACTTCAATAGGCGAATGAACGTATAGACCTTTGGTGCTGAATGGGAGGCCAGAGGATTTCTCATCGCCGTGGAGCCAGTTTGTGATGCGAGTCAAGGCCTCGGGACCTTTCTCGAGAGGAATGCTCCATTCGTTGACGAACTGAGAGTAGAGACAGTTCATGAGAAGTTCGGTACGTTGTTCGCCTACAGCAGAGATGACGGCCCCATCTTTGAAACCGTATTGCATGCCAAAGACGAACCATTCCACCCAGGGCAGAAAACGTGGAACGTACTGCGATATCCAGAGTAAGATGTGGTAGGTATGATAGCCAACACTACCGCCATACCAGTTGTATTCGGGTGCTCGGTGCGCTTTTTTGGTCTTGTCTGCACGCCATACAACCGCGCGCTTCATATACGGTAGCCACCATACTCTAACGAATTCGTTAGAAGTCCATAACCCGTTGTTCCAGTCTGCCAGGACGTCTTCAATAGGTCGAATGGTCTGCACCCATTCAATATTGTTCGCCTCAACCATTTGGAATTCAATCTCGACAATTATACCCAACGCACCCAAGGATACCAATGCAGCTCGGAAGAGGTCGGGAGATTGTTGAGGAGAACAACGAACAGCTTGCCCATTGGCCAGTACTATGCGCAAACTCTGAACGCGGTCTGAGAGTAGTCCATGACTATATGAGCTACCATGCGTTGCTGTGCCAATGGCTCCAGCTAGAGATTGAACGTCGATAGAGCCCAAGTTTGGCATGGTCAAACCGTAAGATTTTGCCTGGAGATTCAAGCTGTGCATGCGTATTCCAGCCTGAACTGTCATTGTTTTGCGCTCCTTGTCGACCTTCAAGATCTGGTTGAAGTCATCAAGATTGATCATCCATGATGAAGTGCATGTTAGGTCTGAAGGCGAATGTCCACATCCTACGGTGACAACCCGTCTCCGCATGCGACGTGCAAGATTGACGACTTTCTGAACCTCCTCGAGACTCTGGGGACGGATATAGAGCTCTGGTCGCGAGTGGAAGGTTCGGGCCCATGTGTGGTGAATGTGGGAGTGGGATGCACGGAAAGGGACGCCGGGATCGGTACGGTCGAGCTCTATGGAGAGACGTGGTGGCATCATGACGCCTGGTACACCGCCAGCAGGAGGCGAGTGCGCCATGTTGGTGGTGCTCAAGAATATAAACTCATGGGATACGATGGTGGCGTACAGTAGACAGAGTCGAGATCGAAAGATTAGTAGATGACGTTAGCGCGACCCCGCCATGCAGGAACATGCCAAGACATGGCCAGATGGTGCGATGCGTGCGCTATATGCCCTAATCCTGGGTTCTGAGGATGATGGCGCAGAAGAACTTCAGCACGCAATACAAGAGGCCGATTCCTACAAATCCAGCTCGCCCAAAGCTGAAATCCCAGATGGCGACTTGTTGATCGGCTTTTGCAGCGGCTCTGGTTGAGAATTTGCATCTCGCGAGAGCAACCCACTATGTCGCATGGCAAACATTCCCGAGAGCATATTTATACAAGGAATATTGTATGTCGCTCGTACAATATGTTTGATGTCAGATACAGCGAACTATGGACGATTGTCCTGCCGATGGCCGATCCGTCACGTGAGGAGCTTTCAGAGTTTTAGCGCGTTTGTAGCGCGTCACCAACAGCGGGGCCGCCGCAGTGCCAGCCCAACCTCACCCTTCGGTCTCGATTTCGACGTCGTCCTTTTGTCCGACCTTGAGCATCTATGTTGGGATCCGACATCAAGGAGACTATGGTTTTGACTCGGCAGCTTACATCAGCACTCAATTTGCGTGACTTTGATAATGCGAAACAAGCGTGCAATCTTCGAACGAGGAACGTGTTCCTCTACGGTATGATTGCTCTCAAGTGGATCGAGTTTGTTGCTGAGGAAAGAACTGTTTGTTTCCTGTACTCGCAAACATGATATTACACCTACTGCTGTTTCATAAAAGCATCAATAGCATACAATCAGACCAAACTCGAAGCTTCAAATGCCTCAATACTCAATATATCACTGCCTTATATATCAACATAACTGCAGATGGGCATGCTGAGAATAGCTGATTTTGTTTCATACCTTTTTTGCTATTGTTATTCGAAAGCGATAGCACTCCCAACTAACAGTTCCTTCATCCACTTCCAGGGTTACCAGAATACTGTATAACGCCACATAGTACGTCAAGCATCAGCCTATTCGAAGTTACCGAGAAGTGGTCGCTGCTTTTAGTCAATTTCACAGGTGCAATCTCTCAGAGTGAAAGAGGGCACACTTGCCTTATCTACTCTTGCGCAATACCAGCAAACGTCAGACATACCAATCAATCCCCTTCACTGATCTCAATGGCAACGCGCGTAATCCAAAAAACTCAATCCATCCACCAATTATTGTATGCATGAACGTGGAAAACCGTTCACTCGCACAGCAAGTTTGGAACAAATCTCCCAAAAGCTGCGCCACCTAGACAAGGAGGGTAGGCATGACATGACTATCCGCTCAAGTACATTCACTCTCACCTAGTCGCGCCTTCCTGACGCCCAACTCTCACTTTCACTCGCTAGCGGCTTTTAGCCCACTTTCATACCAATATATCTACCCCTCCCACCCTTTCTCTCAACACACTGGTCAACTTCTTTTCTTGGCCTCGATTGAACTTTCTTCTTCTTCTGACTTCAACCCACGCAGCGGTCATCCCAATGCGTCTGTTCATCATTGCGCTGTTTGCGCTGCTAGTGACTTGCCTCGCTGGCAGCACTCACTCCATTGGCGACGTCCTACCCGCCATCGAGATCACCGAGGGTTACTTTCAAGGTCACTCAATTATCGGCCGTGATGCTCCCAAGTGCAGTGCATCAAAGCCCTGTATCGACGGTGTCTGCTGCAACAGTGACGGTATTTATCTTCTACCAAGACTTTGTGTATCGAAGAATACTGACGAAGCTTAGGTTACTGTGATCCTCATACTGCAAAGCGCCGTATCGCATATTATGCAACATCTAACATCCGCCGACGCTCCTGCGAGCAGATCTGGCCTGTTCGCTTGAACACCACTGGTTTCACGCACATTGTCCTCGGTTTCGCTGTTTTCGACCCAAAAAATTTCACGGTTGGTATGCAGCACCCTGATGATGGAGAAGTTTACAAACAGTTTCTCCGTCTACCGGATAACGTTCGGAAAGGATTGGTCAGTGCCTACTTAAAGCCCTCTTAAGGTGCGATAACTGACATAATCACAGGCGATCGGCGGCTGGGAAATGTCCAACGAGGGACCGACACGCACTGCCTGGTCTGACATGTCGAGTACCAAATCCAACCGCAAGGCTTTCATCGATTCGCTCAAACAATTTCTCAACACTTGGAAATTCACTGGTATTGAGATCCATTGGGAGTGGCCTGGTGCGTCGAATCGCGGTGGTAAACCAGCCGATGCTCAAAACCAAGTCGACTTGATTCACGAGCTGCGTGAATATCTGGGAAAGGATTTCATCATTTCTGTTGTTCTTCCGGCTCAAAGCGTGTACCTCGAGAATATGGCCCCGTTGAAGATGCAAAGTGTTGTCGATTGGTTCACCGTCTTGACTTACGACCTTCATGGGTCTTGGGATGCCTTCATCAACGGTTTAGGACCCAAGATCAAGCCACACACTGATCTTGCCGAGATAGATTCCGCTCTGAACCTGCTCTCCTCCGCCAGTCTCGACCCTGCCAAAATCAACATGGGCCTCGCGAATTACGGACGTGGCTTTACGGTTGCCAACCAGACCTGCAAGTACTATGGCTGTGAGTTCACCGGCCCAAGCAAAGCTGGTAGCTGTACCAGGGAAGATGGTCTTCTCAGTGCTTGTGAGATTTCAAGGATCATACGTGAGAAGAACTTGACCCCTCAGGTCATCTACGGTGGTGCCGGTGTCAAGGAGATCTCCTGGGACGATCAGTGGATTGGATATGACGACCACGATACACTCGCGATGAAGCTGACACTGGCAAACAAGCGCTGTCTTGGGGGTACCTCTCTTTGGGCCATTGAGCACGATTACTGCGATGGTGGTGGTGTCGGCGGGCCACAAGCACCACAGAGTTCAGTTCAACCTGGTCTGCCGCCTTCCACCCTGTCTCCTGCTCCTCCCTCTGCTCCATCATCTGTACAGCCGGGCTTGCCGTCTTCTAATGCACCAGGTTCATCCACTCAACTTGCTCCACCTAGCATTCAGTCATCTCTTCAGCCTGACCTGCCGTCTTCTGCACCGTCTCCTGTTCAGCCTGGGCTACCGTCTTCTGTTCAGCCCGGCCACTCGTCCTCTCCTGTACCAGGTTCATCCTCTAAGTCTTTTCTGGCACCCTCTGCTTCATCTTTCATTCAGACGGGCCTCCCTTCCTCTGCTTCGCCTGGCTTCCCATCTTCTGTCCAACCCGGTTTATCATCTTCTGCTTCGTCTGGTACTCCGTCTCCCGTTCAGCCTGGCATCCCGTCTTCCGCTCCACCTGGTTCATCAGCTTCACCTGGCCTTCCGTCGTCTGCTCCAACAGCATCTGCAAATCCTGCCCCGTCTTCAATACCATCATCGAGTGCCTCCACCCAGGGTACAATTGCGCCCCAACCATCTAACAGCTCGATTGGTCAGAATTCTCCTTCTGTTGTGCCCTCTGGGTCTGAACACCCTTCATCGCGAGGATCTCCCACCCCATCTTCCGCTATTTGGAGCAGCCAACCAGTATCTGGATCCACATTGAGCCATTCTGATGTCTCTTCGTCAGTGCAGATACCAGTGCCAACATCTCTGTCGCCATCGCCATCGCCAGCTCCAGCTCCATCTTCAGCTCCAGCCCCATTACCGTTGCCATTACCATCTCTATCGGCATCCCCATCGCCATCCCGGGGTCAGCCTCCGTCCCAGCCTGGATCACACTCAACTACATCGACGGGATCTCGAACTACCACACGGGAAAGCTCCAGTATGTTTTCTTCTGGACCTTGGAGTATTATCACTTCAGTGGCCAGCATATCGGCCCCAATTTCTTCGCGTTCTGGCTCATCTGCTGCTGGGTCTTCTCCTATTTGGTCGGGTAGCTCTGCTGGGTCTTCCATCTCAACCATCACCCCTGTCGTTTCCTCCACCACGGCCATCGTTCCTCCCGGTTCCTCTGATTCTGGCTCTTCTGTTGTTTGGTCAGGTAGCTCTACAAGAACTTCTGCCACGGCAATCGTTCCCGTCGTTCCCACCCTTCCAAGTGGACCTACTTCTTCAACAACGCCCATCACTCAAGTCGGATCATCTTCAGTTGCGGGTAGTTCGCGGGCGGGTTTCCCAAGTGGTTCGAGCCATGCTTCATCCTGGATCCCGCCTCCTTTTGGCAGTTCGGCAGCACAGTCGCCTCCCCACAGCGGCTCGAGCCTGGTCATCTCCTCTTCGCCTCCAGGAAGCTCACCAATGCAGTCTTCCGGTGGCAAGACAGCCACTCGTCCTCCGACTTCCGCTCAGGGTAGCAATACCCCGACTGGTATCATTGTCCCATCCAAAGCCAGTACTGCTCCGCCAGTTGTTATCGTCAGTTCCACTTCCAGTCCTGCAAAGCCGTCGCCTACTGCTACAGGATGTCCCAATGAGTGCCGGAACTTGGATTGGTGTAGCATCTTTTGCGTAGGCTGGGTTTTCCCGAGGCCCATCGATGTGCAGCCACCTCATGAATGTCTACTCCCTGCGAACATCAACTGGTGTCGGGCTTGGTGGTGGGGTTTCCCTGGAAACATTGAGCACCATGACGGCGATCCGGATTCGCACTCAGACAGTGATCCAGACTGTAAGCCAAACAACTGCGTTGCGGAATGTGCGGTATGGCGTACTGTCACATTTTTCATGTTCAAGCGGCCCGTCTGCCCATGTGTCCCCAAGAAGTGCGACAAGGATGGTGAGAGCGACAGTCCCAGCGACAGTGACCGCGACGACCCCAAAGTGAAGCCTAAGCCCACATCTCGTCCAAAGGAGAAAAACCCAAGGTGCAAGCTCTTCGGTTGTGGTTGTGGCTGGATGGGCCTTTCTTTCGGACCCGGATGCCCTGGACTGGAGATCGAAATCACTTCTCCGTGCGGTCTTTTCGGCTGTAACCCTTGCGTTTTCTTCGGGTGCCCTGGCACACAACCATCAGGCATTATCGGTTACGATGGGTACTGTCCAGGAGGAGGATGCGAGCCTTGTCCCCCAGAAATCTGCAGTCGCCCTGGCTGCACAATCTCTGGTGGCTGTGGACCCAAGCCTGGACCAGCACCGACCAAGCCACCGAATCGTCCTGACCCGGATGACTGCGATGACAGCAAGAGGACAGTCATCACTGAACGCTTCGTATGGTGCACTGAGGGATTCAATGTTTCTGCCCTTCCATCAAGTCTTCGAGGAACTTCCTCGACCATGGTTTCTTCGCTCTGCTTGCCAATGATCGATGCCACAGTGACTATGTGCGGTGGTGCAATGCCTGGGTTCGACACGACAACGACACAGACAGGTACCAAAACGGTCAGTTCAAATGGTCCTGCCTGCATTCGAGCTCCATTGTCTTTGGATGACGACGAGGGTGACAACAGCCCGAACGATCCATTTCACACGTCCAAAACCTTCGCTAGCAACACGACTAGCATGATTCCATCCAAGACTTCGTTTACACCGCCCAAAGCAACCAAGATCTCGCTCGCGCCACCTAGCCCTAGTCATGGCCCCATGGACAAGTTCGGACACTGGAAGGTGAAAATCAATCAGTACATGTTCAACGACTACTCCGAGGTCAACTGGAAGCTTTATGACCCCAACGGCAACCACGCTGGTGAGCACAACGTCCACGGCAAAGGCATGAAGGAGATGAAGGACTATATTCAGTCTGTTAATCGTCCATTTGAGCACATGATGCCTTTCGGTGTTGACATGACCGTCTCGAACCCTCACGACGTCAACAAGTGTGTTGTTAACCTCTCCATCAAGAAGGAAATGCCAGGCTGCAAAAGCCTCCGTGGCGAGGCATGCAGGCCATACATGACAACGGAGACTTTCACTGAAGACCAATTTTTCATGGTCTCAGTGTGTGATTTCGAATGTGGATGGCTGAATCTCAAGTCACTTCTGGAGCCGTCGGATTTGTGGTGCCAGGACTTGAACGATGCAGACTGGGAACCGATGGCCAATGGGTGGAAGAGGGTCTTCGAGTGTGGTTGGAAGGGGTTCTGATGATGGGAACATGAAGGGATGGATTTTTTTTAAATTCTTTGTATTTACTGCTCCAAAGGGTACACAGCCTCGACACAGCGGCCTTGTGGAGTTAATCTAGAAAGGCACGATGCTGATGCGCTAGATGAATAATAAATTGATTCCACTACCAATACCTTCTCTTGCACGTTCAGTCACCCTTTCCTAAACTATCCTCATACTTATGTACTTCATCTCTGGCCTCACCTCTCTTCCCCTTGTCACTTTGCGTGAAACCACCTTTCCGCATATCTCGCGTGATGTCGCTATGATTACGCCAGTACAATACGATAAAAAAATATTTTCGAAAAAAAAAAATCGACAAATGCAACATGATTACATACATACATACAAACATCATACTCAAACCGTCCACCCCTTCTCCCTCGCAACCTCCCATGCCGCATCATCATCCACCTCAACAAAAACCCTCATCTCCTTCTCCACCAAAACCCTACAAACCCTCCACTTCTCCTCATCCCCAAAAACATCTTCCGCCTCCCCAAAAGCAAGCATAGCAACCTCCTTGCACCAAGGCAAGTTGCGTAAACCCGCATAAAACGTATCTGCAACCCTCTGTCTCGCGTCTTCTACTCTAATCTCTGCTTTGCTCTTCTTGCCATCTCTCCGTGGTTTCTTATTTTGCAGCTGTCTCGATTCTTGCAAACGGCGTAGCTGTGCGAGTTCAAACTGGATGTAAGCCTTCCACAGTGCAGGACAATGCTTGCCGCTAGATTCGACGGCGCGTTTATACAGCGCGCGGATAGAATGTTCCGTCGAGCCCGCGAGCTCTCCCCTTCGCATCTCGTAGTGAATTGCAAATGCCCAGCCAGCTATACTGCGTTCTTCGGTGCGCTGGAGTGCGGTATGCTGCATTACGCCGCGGACACGGTCGTCGATTGAGAAGCGGGATTCGTTTGCGGCGTAGAGGGCGAGCAGGAGGGTGTTGTCTGGGAAGCGAGAGAGGAGGGGCTCCAGGGTTGAGCGGGTGAGGGCGGGTTTGACGATGGGGGCGTGCGTGGTGTGGAAGGTGAGGAGGCGAGATATGAATTGCGCGTGGAGTTCGGCGGAGGAGGAGTAAGTGGTGGCATGGGAAGTGAACCAGATTGAGAGGTGGGAGTGGAGGTTTAGGGCGCGAGGGGCGTCGTAAGAGCTTGTGAGGTAGAGGAGGAGGGCGGAGAGGGAGGTACTGAGGATTGCGGTAGCGTGGTCTTGGGCGAGTAGGGCTTGTTCGCTGATCTCTGCGAGTCTTGTACGAAGACTATCTACGAGAGTCTCGTCGGGTTGCGATTGTGCAGTTTCGGCGGGAGGGTTGCCGTGCGGCGAGACAAGTCGCCATAGTGCAGTGTTTCTTTCTCCCCTCCGAAGAGCGTCCCAGACCCAGCTGTCCAGAAGTTCCAATAATTGAGGAGTTGGATTTTCTGATTTGGCTGGTTGCATAGCAAGCACTGTGCGGAATACTTGATCGGCTTTGTCCGAGTTTCCAAGCCGAGATTCAACCAATCCATAAGCATTGTATAGACGCAAGCTTGATGGCCGAGCCTTGAGCAGTCGCTTTGCTGTTTTGAAAGCCTCATTAGGGTAGTTTCGAAGCTCAAACGCAAGAAGATACTCCCCAAAGACATCTTCACTCGATGGGTCTGAGGCTACAAGTTTGAGCAGTTGTCTGATAAAATCAGTACCCAGTCCGATGCTACTTGTAGAGAAACTTTGGTCAAACAACAGCTCAGTTGTCATCTGAAAACTTTTCGACGGGCAATTCGAGAAGTGATTGAGCGATTGTACAAAGTTAGAAGATTCATCTTCGTTGAGGGGAGACGATGACCAGTGGCGTTGCAGAAAAGGATCAGACCACCAGCTCTGCTGGTGCGCGCCCGACTTTGGTATAGGAGGTAGTCCGCAAAAGCACAGGAAGGCCTCTACAAGTAGTCCTGACGGTACATGTTCGGGAACAAGCTTCAGGTATGGTGCTACGTCATCGAAGAGAATGGTATGGAAAGCATCATCCTCTGCTATGTCGTCAGACGTGCGGCCTGGTAACACGAGTTGTCTTGTGGCTTCCGTTTCGCGTTTTTTAAAATCTTCAAAAAACGAGTCTGACGAGTCCTTCTCCAACAAGGGGGCAAACTCAAGCGATGCAGGCTCGCCTGATGGACTGTATTGCTTCCACCCTTTTGATTGTGGCTCGCCAATGCGTGCTACCTCGCTATCCCAGAACATCTCAAATGCGTCAATGGTCGCATCCTCTGCGGGCCGTAAAATACGGAATTCAATTAAAGCTTGCCAAATTGCTACTGAAAGCTCCTGGTATCCGGCTTCATATGTCATGGATGTAAGGCGCAGTATTATGTGCAGCAGGCCCGTAGGTGAAATGTTTTGTGTGCTTGCACTGAGAGTTTCGATGCATTTGAAGAAGATAGCTCGGCAGTCCTCGTACTTGAAAGTTGTGAATCGCGACTGTACAAAGTCGAGATACATCATCCACAGTTCGACGCTTTCTGGATGTTTTACAAGAACGTCCTTCCATTTACTGGCGAGCTTGGCGCCTTCCCATGCTCTCTCAGCTTCTTTCAACAGCCCTTTGTAAAGTTGTAGCTGGCCCTCGGGGTGTTTACCGATCTTCTTGAGGGCTTCTCCGTATATATCGATGCGTATATCAGCAAGATGGGCTTTGTCAGAAACTGTCAGCTCAGCAGATGGCCGCTCAAGCTTCAGCATGGCTTCCTGGTGAGCGATCAGCGCCAGCCACCCTGAGACATCTTCAGGATGCTCTTTGGTGCTCCGTGCGAGTCTCGAGTTGGTGCGAGTGGCTTCAGCATCAAACGTAACATCAACATCAGACTCATATTGCGCATCTGGGTCAGCTGGCTCGGCAGATTTTGGCTCTTCTATTCCTCGATAGTCGAATTCTGGTGTTCCTTCGTCGTCATCTTCATCAGTATCACTGTCGTGACGCTTCCTTTTGCCGGTTGCAGACAAGAGCACGTAGTCTTTGTTGAGATCTGAGGCGTCGCCTCCGGCTTTTACTAGACGTAGCGCACGTTCACCTGACCGCTTTGTAGATTTGTCTGTGAGTAGGCGCTGTTGACGTCGGCGCGTGGCAGGCGAAACATATATTTTCTTGTCTGTAGACAATTCTCGGTCAATCTTCTGCTGCAATGGAAGGCCCAAGACGAATCCATGACCATATCGACGGTAAGGTGGAATTTCATAACGGTTCAAGGTACCATATCGTAACACGTCCTCGTCTCCTCGCCGGTCGCTGAAATAGGGCTTGTTTGCAGACGCGTCTGTTTCCCGGATCTGTGGACTTGGTGATTTCGAAGTTCTTCTATGTTGATCTTTTTGTTTTGATGTACGGTCAGATTGGCTGTGTGGTTGGGGTTCCTTGGATAGTTCCTGAGCAGGCTTGGGCTTTGGCCGGAAGCTCGCGAAACTCGAGGTGTTCGCACTCATTGTAAGTGGCAAGCATCCGACGAAATTCTTGAATACTGAGAGACAATATAAGCTAATGTCATGGTGCTCTTGTTTGTAGCCACGATGAAGGGTGCGAGAGACGCAGCATGAGTCGAGTGATAGTGCAAACACAAGGGAGCTGCTACTACTTCAACGCCAAATTCATTTCGGTTTTCCTGGAAGAAGCTGTGTGGATGCTGTGAACACCTAACAGCTAGGACGGAGGGCTGTGTGCAATGAAGGGCAGGCAGCACGTGTCTCGGGAGTCCGATGGCGCATGTGGCTGAAGCGGCCCGCCGTAAAAACCCACTAGCGTGAAATCTTGCAAATGGTCCGTCTCGAAATTTTGAATGCGCATCACCATCCTCAAGCTTTCCCACCCAACCCGCCACGACAACTTCCACGCTGTTTCGCAGCCTCTTATGGCTTCCGGGATTTCCAAAAACGAACCTTGATATCTTGTGCGACACGAAAAATTCCCGGAAATGGCGACAGCGCTTCAGAAACAGCTCGCGACTATCGCGGCCTCGAGCACCCACCAGCTCGACCTGCGCGCCCAGAAGGCGGCACATGGCAAATCTCTACTATTTGAACCCAAGATCGCCGCATCACAGTCATTCGAAAATGTCTATTTAATATGCTACGAGGGCTACCGGGAGCTGTGCGCGCTGGATTCGAGGTTTTTGCGCTTCTCCAAGAATCTCTTCAGCGAGCAGAGCAAAGCCGAAGACCGCACCCAGATGACCAAGGATGAGAATGCTAAGCTCAATATTGTACTTGAGGCTTTCATCACGCTGGTTGGGCCCCGATTGCTGCTCAAGCCAGCAGAGAAGGCGCTGGAGTGGCTTGTAAGGCGATTCCGGTACGTTGAACAGCACTATTTCGCCTGCACAAGTTCGTGCTGTTGGCATGGCTAATGGCAAACAGAATCCATGAATACAACACCGAATGCCTCGTCTTCACCTACTTGCCTTACCACAACACACCCCAATTCCTAGCCCTGCTATCTATCTTGCCCCCGCAGCCATCGCACGCCATCCGCTTCCTCTTTCCTTATATCCAGGCCCCCACCAATGTACCCCAGCGAACCATTGCCTACACAGCCATCAATACACCTCAATTCTTCAAGGCCTACCATGCATATGTTGCCAAAGTAGTGGAGGTAGGCCACCAGGCTGCTCACATGCTGTCCTTCTGGTCTGGAATCACTGTCGAGGCAATCTACGGCATATTGAGCAACTCAAACTCCGGCAAAAAGCATCTCCAAGACCAGAATACCGAGAAGCTGGTTTTAGATCTACTTCCAGTTCTTAATAGTTGCATGCATGCCAAGCATGGAGCCGACACTGTATTAGCCTGCTACGCCATCGTCATCATGCTGGTGAACCAGGCAAAGGTTGGAGACAAGGTTTTGGATGGCCTGATGGAGGCTGTGATTGCAGCTCATGACGAAACATCACTCCAATCCTGCGTAGGTTGCTTAGCAATCATCGCAAACGAGCGCTCCAAAGCACAGCTTCCGACCAAGGTTGCAAAAAAGCTCCTCAGGGTTCCGCAACTTGTGCAAAGGCTCAAGAGTGTATCCGAGCAGTGTCAAGCCGAGCGGCTTGTACTGGGATGCGCGCTTGGTGCACTCAACGTCGGCTCGGAGGAAAACCATGCCATCTTCCATGAGCTTATCACATCGGGTCTGATCAGCAAATCCCGCATTCAAATCGTACTATCAGCGGTAGTCCAGCTTCTGCGCGACAGTGTGCCAGGCTCTGAAATGCATGGAGAGTTACTTCAGGTTGTTACCAAACTAGTCGAATCGAAGGACCTGTCATCCATGCTACAGGATGCGGCAAAGCAGAACAATGTCGATTTGGAATCCCTCGGGCTCACCATTACGCAAACATTCGAGATTGAGAATATTCAAGAAATAGATTCTGACGAAGAGATGGTTGACGTTGATGAGGCAACTAAGAAGCCCGTTGTAGATGTGCCTGAGATCACAACTACCAGCTTCCTTAATGCAGGATCAGAAAAGGAATTCGCCGAAGTTGCTCATGCTTTTGAGCAGGCAGTATTGACCAAACAGGCTAAACCATTCCTTGCCTCCGATGCACTGCACCAGGGGGTTGCACTTCAGCAAACGCGCTATCTATCCTTCCTTGCCCGTGTCTGGACCAGTAACCGCCCAGTTGCCATTCGTATCGCCGCTCTACGTGCTACGGCATCGTCATTCGAGAAATCAGAGGTTGCTCATACCCTGCAAAACCTTTTGCCATACTTTGTGCATGCGCTCGCCGATCCCTCCCCCCTCATTCGGCGGTCTGCTGCCGCTTGCATCACCCTTTTGTCGCAAAAGGCCTCTGCGAGATCAAAAGCTCAGTCGTGGGGCAAGTCCGACGTGTACGGCCAAACTTCTAAGAACATCTCCGAGCTGAAGCCTGAAGACGTATACATCTTTATTGTCTCAATGCTCCAGCAGATGCTTGAGGAGTGCGTAATGGATGCGCATTTCATCATTCCTGCGCTCCGAAGTGTTCTCGAGGGAACGCAGTCGCAGAACCAACCTAAACAAGCTTTCAAGATGCAAACGCGAACGGCCATACTCGGCTTCTTCGCAAGTCACGCCGGCTGTACGCCCTTGCTAAAAGTCCGGTTGTGTTTGCTGCCAATGTTCAACATTCGTGGAAAGGTCTCAGACACGGTCCGCACGAACTACATCCTTCCATTGTTGAACGAATGGTCTGCTCTTCCAATTGATGCCGTAATAAACCAGTGCAGCAGCGAAGCCATCTCTCTTGATGATGCTGAGTGCTCGCACCTCGCTGCAATCACACCGAGGGAGGCAAAGAGTGCCCAGTTGTTACAAGATATCATCTCTGGAACACTTAACAAAGAGCGAGAAGTGTTGGTAATAGCTGCTTTCGGTCGAATTCAGGCGTCATGGTCTGCTTTCCGGTCTGAATCTCGACACTCCCTTGCCCAATGCATGCTGGGCTTGGCTTTGAGCGATAGCGACGGGTCTTTCGACAAGCTTTGCAGAGAACAATCCATAGAGATCCTACGCAACGTTAATCTCGATTCTGAAATTCTTGTTACTTTCTTGGACAGCGTTCCGTCGCCCACCGCGATGCCCGGAGGACCACCAGCAGCGAAGCGGAGACGGACTAGCCGAAGCGAAATGGCCCGAGTCGAACTCTCTTCTCAAAATGACGTTCAAGGTCTTCTTCGAAGACTCACATTGGTACTCGAATTGGTCGAAGGATCTAATCCAGGACAACATCCAGAGCTTTTCAAGAGCCTTTTCGGTATCTTTGCTGAAATGCAACCGCTTAAGCAACAGTCGGAATCCGAATTGGTATACCTGCAGAGTATCATCCTTGGGTCGTTAAGTCCAATTGTTAGGACACTGAAGGAGATGCCAGACACTGTCGACTATCAGTCAGCAGTGCGCGCAGACCTTTTGATTGATTGCATCCGACACTCCTCCAGCCCGCAAGTACAGAATAGCGCTCTGCTTTTGATTTCAAACCTTGCTTCTTGGGTTCCTGACCTTATTCTGCACAACCTTATGCCTATCTTCACTTTCATCGGATCCACTCTGCTTCGACAGCACGATGACTACTCAGCCCAGGTTGTTGATAAGACAATCTCACGCGTCGTACCGCAATTGGCTGCTTCGCTTCGCTCAAAGCATAGGGACTTCATTGCTGGAGTTTCAGACTTGCTGCTCAGTTTTACTGCGGCGTTCGAACACATTCCCTTGCACAGAAGGATGAAGCTGTTTGCACAGTTGGCTCGCACACTGGGCCCCGAAGACTCTCTCCCGGCTATCGTTGCTCTGCTTGCCGACCGGTACCATAGCAAGGAGCAACGAAGGTTCTGCGCAGACTTGTTGCTTTACTTTGATCCTATCAACACCCTGGTCACCTTCAAGGGCTACCTTGATCTACTCACCGATGCCACCGGACCGAAACCACAGGTCGCGGAGACACTCTTTGGACTAAAGGAGAAGGCAAAGGAGAACAAGTTTGATTCGGGAATCCAAAGCATGCTTACATGCTTAACCGATCTGGCCCTGGATGACAAGGTAAAAGCACACGTCACTAGAGCGTACCGAAAGAAGGACGACCCAGAAAGGCCACGAAGGATCTTTGCAGACATTATCGAAACCACCGTCCAGCTTTCCAAGAAACTGGCGTCAAACTCAAAGACGTATGCAGCATGCAGTCGTGTTCTCGCCAGTTGCTTGGATCTTTTGCCAACGACCGATCTCATCAAGTCTGCTGAGTTGATCCTCTCCAGCACAGACTCTCATGTGCAGGTCGCTGCAGTCAAATCAGTCGAGCTTCGAGCGGGCACTGCTAAGCAAAATGACCGCAAGTCTGTGGAAGCACTCATCTCCTTCTTGCCTAGCGTTCAAACGCTTCTGCAACAGACATCTGAGATGGATGCGAAGATGGTCTCGGTCAGTTGCATCGACCGGATCATCGAGCGCTTCGGCAAGAAGGATGTATCTGCTGTATCATCAGTGGCTCAAACCATTGCCGGTCCTGAATCGCTATCGAGCAGCGACGACAGAATTCGCATCTTGTCTTTGATCTGTCTGACTTCTGTCATCGACGTTCTTGAAGACGAAGCCATCTCGCTACTACCTACAATCGTTCCCGTTGCGTTTGAGTACCTGTCAAATGCGATTGACGAAGAGAAGGCTGGCCTTCACAATGCTGTGTTCACCCTGCTTGCGAACATTGTCGACCGTCTGGGATACATGTTCTCGCGGGAGTACTTGGATACTGCTTTGCGGTTGTCTCAACGTTCTGCTGCTGCCGACCTGGAGGATGCTTGCGATGAAACCCGCGCTAGCTTCTACCAGAGTGTATCGGAGCATCTCAGTGGACAAGAAGTCTTTTCTTCTATCAAGGCGACATGGCCAAATGCTGCCTCTCAAGGTTTCGACGCCTTGTTCGAACAACTCCAACTTTTGCAGTCCACAATCAATGCTCAGA